AATAAGGTATTGGGGCACTTTATGATTAATAATTTGATACAGTAGTCAGGAAAGTTCAATCACCATGTGACTGTCCTATTCATAGACATTGGTCAATGGTATTGACATTTAGTCTAGTCTGTAAAGTGTAGTCACCATGCAACTGTTCTATCTATACATATTCATATTCATATACTGTATATATATTCATAATATTATTATACCGCTCTGCATAGCATCGAGCACTATACGTTACCTGAACTGACAACTTTATATTCATTTATATTTATATAGCACCTTTCTTTGCTGATACGAAGCGCTTCTGTCCCTTAAGTGTTGCTGCTGTATTCAGTGCAGGAGCAAGCAACCACACCAGGTACTTATTTATACTCCTGGGTGGAGAGAAGCAATGCAGATAAAGTGTCTTGCTCAAGGACACAAATGAAATGCACAGTGAGGAATTAAAACTCCGACCTCAAGGTTGGGAAACCAAACCTTTCACGCTGCGCCAAACTGCTTCTACACATTTAGTCAATGGTATTGACATTTAGCCTAGTCGTAGAACTACCTTAATAAAAAAATAATTAATATCCTATAAAACATTTTTTCTAATTTCTGAAGACATTTTAAAACATATTGATTATTATGCTTTGTATTTCTAAGAAAAGGTAAAATAGGACAATAAATATTCTATGATATACCTCAGACTATTGCTGATGAATGTTATTTAATAAAGAAATGAAAGGCCTATTGTTAGCGAACTCTGCAGTCATCTATATTCTAATAATATGTGTTTATTTACTGCTAATCATAAACCTTTTTGTTAAAAGATACTAGACAAAAAATAAGATATAAAAAAAAAATCATTCTGTACACATATTGTAGGAAAACTAGGCCTATATATTTATTTATTTTTTATTTTATTTAATTTTCAGGTAACAATACAACAAAAACTTCATCGATAAAAAAAAAATATATAAATAAAGATTGCTTGATAAGCTAATGAGGATGTGTGAGTATCAATACAGGGGTAAAATTGTACACGATAGTAAATTTCAGATGAGATACAGTATTTAATTATGATTATTATGAGTATTAGATCAAAGGTTCTACTTGAATGAAATGAGATGTTATTAGCAAGTAGTTGAGATTTGATAGTAATTTTCAATAATCCAGTAATTTGCAATTTGTATACTAAATTAAGACCATAATATTTATTCTACTGCAGTCTAGAAACTTTTTGTAAGAAAATATGATCCATCAGGAAAAAAATCAAGACGACAAACAAAATATTTCTTTAAGTAAAGGTAGAAAATTATTTTAAAGCAATAGAAAATACTGTAAACTGAAGGACAATCTACTAGTAAATACAGTATGTGTAGGGGGAAGGGGTGTACTGTATAGGATGTCCACAGGATAGTGTATATGTGAAATTTTAAAGTATTGAATTATAAATGGATGTTCCTTCTAAAATGAAGTACAATGAAAAATTAAGTTTGATTTCACAAACTATCGTCTGCGTTACTTTGTGGTGTAAGCAATGAAATGACAGACTGATATTTGATGGTTTACGGGGGGATGCATATGTGTTGGAGGGAGGAGGAGTAATATGTACACAAGGCGGTACGTGTAAAGTGAGATGGGTATGTTTTGTTTACATACAGATAAAGTATTAAAAAAAAGAAACTGATCTGGAATTTCTAATCTGCTATTCGAGAGAATGGTTCAAATGGCAAAAAAGGGATGTTTTCTATGCTACTGAGAAAATGGAATTTACAAGAAAATATGATATGAGACAAACAAATTTCCAAAAAAATTAAATCTCACCATTTCCTTGATTGCCATACATCTCAAGAGATTGCATAATCTCATCATATGTTGTTCCCTTCCTGATTTCAGTGGTAGCCATGATGATAGAATCCACAAATTCATGAAAACTGAACTAGAAATTTAACACATTAGATTCCAAAATTTGAAATCTATCTCTGACAAACATAGGATGCGAACGATGCAGGCTATAAACTATAGATCCATTTGTCGTGCAACGCTATTAATTTTGTTGCTCATTCTTTTAAATGAAATTCTAAATGATAGCTAAAGTGCCTTAGCTGCTACAGTACTGCAAACCGGACGAATGGTTATCAAATTAGCAAAAGGTTAGAGCAAAGCTTTGATTTACTATGCATGGAAAGTTATATTACACAAAATTCTTAAAAAGACAGCTTTAGGAAAAATTAATAAAAAAATAAATATTATGACTACCACACAAATTATATTTTTTGTTTATTATAATTTTAAATTTGTAAAATAAAATATAGGTTTTATAAGTTAATAGTATTCCAGTATTAAAAGTTAAAAGAAAAAAACTTAAAAAAAGATTTTTGTTTTTAATGAATTAATGTGTTATTAAGGCCTGTTCAGTCTATCTTATTCTATTTGACAAAAACATGCAACATCATCCTACCGTAAATAGTATGATGACATTACCATACGACAATAGGTACATCATAACTATATACCATAAAACCTTGAATAGAAGCCCAGTGGCTTAATCTTGAGAAGAAGCCCATCTTGAATTGCAACCCCCCACCCTTCATTAATTTGCAAAGTTGCTTGCTCTTTCAATCACTCTAGTTACTACGGTGTTAATAATTACCATTGCTGGATTTACTATGTAATGGCCAACAAATAAAATGTCAAATTTTAATAAAACCAAAATGCAAAAATTTTTTTTTTTTTAATTATAGACTACTCAATAACATCTCAATTCATAATTATCCTATCATCAAACACCTGCTATATTTTATTTTACTTATTTATTTGGTTATTTATAATGCCTTTCTTTGCAGATCCGAAGCGCTTCTGTCCCAGGTCATAGGATCCATATATAGGAGCAGGCAACCCCATTAGATACCCACTTATACTCCTGGATGGAGAAACAACATAGATAAAATACCATGCTCAAGGCACCCTAGCAAAATGCACAGCGAAGGATTGAAACTCCGACCACAAGGTTGGGAAACCAAACAATTCACATCGCACCAAACCGCTTCCAACTTTACTGAGTGGAAGGTGAACATAAATTGCCTTGCTCAAGGACACATAATGCGTAATAACTTCTTTTTCAGTCATACTAGTTTATACTGCAATTACATATTTCATATGCAATGTTTGAAAGATCAATTCAAGAGTAGTTATAAACTGTGGTCATTCCATGCTAGATTTGAGATGAGATGTTTGAAAATTGCAAAATGGCAAATAATAAAGAATGAAAGCATTAATAATGAGTTGTTTAATCTGCTTATAATTGTTCTGCTTATAATTGTTCATTGTTGGTTAAAGTGAATAACACCACACAGCAAAGGCACTGTACATTAGGCCTACGGTACAATAGTATTCCGATGTTTCTGCTGTATGTATTACTTAACAACAGAAATGTACGAGCAACATATGCCAATCCATGGAATCAATCTAATAATCAATTTAATCAAAATGTACAGTAATAGCAAATCACTAAAGTACTATCCTTTTAATTATCGAGTACTGTTTTTATTAGGGACATTTTTTTTTATACCTTGTTTCATGAACTTATTTTTTAAATGGTTTTACCAAAAACATCCAGAGAGAGGAGAAAATAAAAAATAACATTTTATTGTTGAATGTAAACAGTGTAGTAATGGGATGGTTAACTACTTTGAATTTATGTAATTAGGAAGAAATGCGAGTTATTTTTGGAGATTTCAAGGCCGCGCAGGTGTAATAAAAATAAAGAAAAACTTTATCATTTTTTTTGTGGCACCGGGTACGCTAATTGGCCAAAAATACAATGTAATTTTTATTAGAAATCATCAAAATTGGTGAACGGCGGGTTTCACCAAACAAGGTATAAAAAAGTTTTGCCATAATTAAAAAAGCAAGATGTGTAATTTATTACATGTCACAAGGTACAAATATACTAATGTATAATTATTAAACAAATGTATGATTACTGTAGTACGCTTGAACGTTGTATATGACGTTTAATGTTCTGTACATTGAAGCACAATTCACAACAGATAGATGTGATCATATTGTAATATTAAAACATTAACAGCAGCAGCAACACAAACAGAAACAACTGCATCAGAAACAGCAACAACAAAAACAAAATATACAATTTTCAATCTTATGTTAACACGAAGATAACACTCTAATAGGAAGGAGACAGAATCCCAATACCTCCCCAAATATCCTGGTCCCAAAGAAGAGAGAAGAAAATGTACACAATTGTTTTAGTGGGAGTTGAGGAGGCACAGAGCCAAGTTTGTATAGAAAATTCTTTTGAGAATGAAAAAAAAACCTCCTTTTTTATGTTATTTATTAAATTAGGACTAAACTACTATTCATGAACTACTAATATTCAATTTTAATGAAGACACATGATTACATGTCATAAAATCAAGTGGCAATGCATGTTACTATATTATGAACTTGTTCATTTCAAAATAATAGTATTAATCTGCCAGAATGTATATATGATGTCTTTTAAGTATCTTTTTATAAAAACATTATGAATTCAAACTACTTTTTATGCAATAAGGCAGGGATATGTTGATGCCACTGCATAAAGCAGTAGATGGTAATGTAATGTAAACAAATCAAGCAAAATAGATCAATCTAGTATAACAGGTAAATTCAAGAAAAGTGGAGTTACATTAGTCTGTCTTTTTATACTAATATTATAAATTATGGTGGTGGGGAGTGTTGATTTGATTAAATTTGTAAATTGAGTTCAGCTCTAAAGCAACTAGAATTTAAGCTGCAAAAAAAAAAAAAAAAAAAATTTTTGCTTGGGGGCTTTGGGGAAAGGGTGAAAATAAGGTGAAAAAAGGGTGGTTAATGCTCCTTTTAACCCCAGTTTTTAAATATTCAAAAATCTCATTAACAACCAATCATTTTTTTTTTGTGTCTTCAGTTGTACAGCAATTAAAAGATGTCTTTTCTCTGGAGCCTGGCTTTAGAAAAAAAGATGATTACGGTACCTGCAAGGGGGTGATCTGCAATGCCACTCATTTTACGATCCACCCTTCAAAGCCTTTTCCAACTTTTTGATCCGTAAACAATCATGTCAAAAATTCATGATCCTGGATAAATCTGCAAGACATTAGAAATTTTACAGGTTTTCTACTGTGAAAACCTCTTTTATAGTCTGCCAAGTATATTGCAACACAAATCAAGATTTTTTAGAACAAAATAATAATAATAATAATAATATATTGGCAGCACTCAACAAGGTGTGTCAATTACAATACAGCAAATTTAAAATGAAAACTGATAAGGTCGCTGGAAATACATTACACTGTTCTCATCAGCAATTCTTGAATAATTGGTAATGGATTTTTGTCATCTTTCTCACACCATATCAAAGATTGTCTGTCTCACACCATATATCAAAGATTGTCTGTCTATTGAAAATACAGATGCATGGCAGTGCGCAACGATTACACACACTCTGTGAACGACTGAACATGTAGCGACTTACAGAATGGTTTGACTGCGTTTCACAGTGAGGTGAATTATATTTTCACGAAAATATAACAAAACTGAATGAAAAGTATCGCACTTTTTAACTATTTACCTCAGTGTTCTTTTGAAAAAGACACAAAGATGAAAGATAAATTGTTTTGACATGGGGCCTAAAGTTGCAAGCGGCCGGCTGACGAGAACCATGTAATATATTTCCAGTGGCCTAACATAACAAGAATATTATTATACACCAGAAAAATAGCTAAAATTAAAGACTAGGTCTATGCCTACTTGTATAAAAAATATACGGTACATGTTCCCACATTCACAAGGTGAGTACCCAGCATGCTGAGAGAGTTTACTTGCATGATTGCATGAAGAGCCCATTTTCAAATTGGGCTCGACTGACCTGAAAATGGGCCGATTGTTTGTAATTCAGCCCTACATTCAGGCCTCTTGATTGTAGTAGGCCTAGCCTAGGCATAGCCAAAAGGGCCTAGGCCTAAAAAGTAAGTAGGTACTTCTAGGCCTAGGCCTAGGTCAAAGCTCTAGCCTAGGCTAGGCCTAGCTTCAAAAATATAATACTCCTGCAATATACCGTAGGCCTAGTTTATACCTGCTTGTACAAACAAGCTCATACTCTTCTCACCAGGGAGGTGCTATCTAGGGAAAGGGCGCTAATGCACTTTCGCACCTAACATTTAATTCTTATTTTTTTTACCTTAACGGCAACGTATAATTAACAAACATTTTCACCTGATTTAACCACTCACAAAGTACCTTTTTCAACAAATAAGCCCACAAATAAGTACAGCGAATCTGTGTTCGCTAGCACGACGAGCGGCTGCCATTTTGCAATCAGTAAGAAATTGCCAGAATGTCTGAGTTTGCAGCATGAAGTTTTTTAATTAAACATTATGAAAACTTATCTATTTGCCGTATTGTATGCCATTCTTTATAATGTATGGTGCTGTTGTTTGACTATGTGTGTTTACATGAAATTCACACATACAATAATTACTTCAAAAATTAGTAATGATCAAAATGCGTACACAGACAGATCGAAAAATAGGGCCTAGGCCTAAATCCAGAAAAACAACTATGCCAATGATAAACGTCGGTTCGATTAACCTCAAATACGACAAGAAAGTAAAAAAAGATGGTACTGCATGATGCCACATTTTGTTGTTGGATGTTTCATGGGAAAATTCCTATTAAAATTATAATACTGGCCTTTAATGGTTTCAAAATTTAAGAACTGACTGACATTCTGGCAATTTCTTACTTGATTGTAAAAAAGTACAGCTCGTCGTGCTAGCAAGCGCGGAAACCCTGTATCAACCTATAGTTATAAAGGTATCTTTTTGTTGAAAAAATGTACTTTATGAGTGGTTGAATCATGTAAAAATGATATTAATTATGTGTTGTGACTGTGATAAGAAAATTCAAGTAAAAATATTAAGAATTAATAGTTAGGTGCGAAAGTGCATTAGCGCCTAGTTAAAGACCCACGGTCTAGCTAGGCGGAGGCCCCATTCAACTCATTGATTGGCCAGGGTCTAGGCCTAGCCTCTCTAGGCCTAGGCTAGCCTTAGTTAGAAGAGGCTTACGCAGTCAGTCAGGCCCAGGCCTAACGTAACGTCGAAGGCAGGCCTACTACAGACGAGGGAGGTTCCGTAACCAAAAAGTTAGAATTTGAATGGTAATTTAGTCGTTCCCTCTAGGCCTAGTGGATATCATGATTAACTCAACAAATGAAGAATACGGTAAAACTCACGCTCATTTCAAACGCATTCCATAATAGGCCTACACCTGAAGTTGCACTTGTCACCTGACATCCGCCGCGCCAGCAGGTTTCCAATTGTTTTTCTCTGTTTTTGATGGTCGAAGATCTGGAACGATAAACGCCCCCTATCTCTCCACTGTGATTTTTGTTCCATTCACAAACTAAATTATGAGTATTTTATAATTTATTATTATTTCTATTTATAGATGCATGCAGTTATATATTTAATACTTTTAACGTTTTCTTACGATAATGGGGTTACTGAATGCAAGCACCAGTTTTTTGGTTTTTTTTGGGACCCGGTATTGACGAGCCTCGTTCTCGACTATCGGGCTCCGAAGTTAAGTGATGTCAATGTGGTGTCCCATCCCTATTTTATATTAATAATGTTTCATCCCCCCCCCCCCCCCCCTCTTTATCTCGAATGTACGGTATATTATTGCCATTTGACAGTAATTAAGCAGTATACTCTCTTGAATTAAGTGGGTTTTTTTTCAATATTACAGTAATATACATTATTTTAAATGTTGGGAATGTGTGCAACAAAAATCTGATATTTTTTATATCTAATTAACAATATTCGATATTCTACTTTGAATTATCTTGATATAAAAAGGGAGCAGTAATATGACTGTTTCCTGATGGCAATTTTGACCGTAATATTTTACCTTGGAGCATATACTAGATAGCCATCACAAATACACCCAATTTAATAATATTTCATAGATCTATATTTCGTGTAAAACCTACTAGGCTATTGTTGGGCTTAAGTTTATATTTTTGACAAAGATTGTAAGATTCTCTTGTCTATGTGTTTGTCCAATATATGCTGAGTTGTTTTTTAGACTAACTTTTAAAATTTTAATGAAAAATTGGTTATAGCTACTCACATTGTCTTGAGTTTTGCTACTTTTGAATTTTATAGAGAAAATCTATTTTAATTGTTTCTTGTTATTGTACTGTTTGTTTTTCCCATGTTCACTGTGTTTGTAGTGTTCTATAAGGGTCTCTTTTATTTGAGATATTTTCATAACAGGGGGAAGCGCCAGCAGGTGGCTTAAGGCCCCCTATTAGACAGGTCAAGCTCCTCCACCGGTCAGAGCTTGTCGGGCAGTCAAACCCAAAAAAACAAAAAAAAAATAGGACTACGCTAAGCCAACACACACCTGTCACAGTCTGAGCCACTTTCGCCCATCCAAAGGTCCTATTTAAAAAAAAAAAAAAAAAACCCTCCCGATTGGACATACGAGCTCAAGGCCCCTCCCCATTGGACAGTTAGCCCCACCCCCCACCTAAAAAATCCTACTGCTCCTCTGTTCCATAAAAGAAAGTTGCAAAGAAAATACCATATTTTTTCGAATAAACGCCCCGCTTTGAATAAATATCCCCTCAAATAAACACCCCTCTAGAGCCATATTTGGAATAATTGCCTCTGAAATAAATGCCCTGAGTCATTTATTTTTCCATTCTGAACAGACTATAAATGTTCATCTACAGAAGAATTACATCATGGCTGGGATCAATAATTCCTTATGATCACGCAATAACGCATTTGACGGTACACCTCCCCTGAATAAACGGCCCCTTAAAAACCCCTCTCGACAATAAACGTTCCGAGGTGTTTATTGTAATACAAGTAGGAACCCAAAAGAATTGAAAAGCCAAATGCTATGTTTTCAGTGCAACATCACTTTTAATCTATTTTCATTGTAATGTTGCATCCTCAAAACATTCACCCCCTCAACCACGCTGGTTGCACTGCAGCGTGAGTAACACTAAGAATATTACACTAACAGACCTCCTGTGCATTCAAGCCTGGAGGAATTAGTTTTTCTCCATGATCCAAGCATATTACTCTACCTTATTTGGCTAAAGTACAAAATTATGCAATAAACAGTCACCATGTTTTAAAATTCAGCATATTTAATTGTAATGTGAGATCCGACTCCGGATAATTCCCCACAAACAACTGGATTGTGATATAATAGAATGTCAAAAAAAAAAAAAATTAATACTATCTTATCACATATACAACACAGCTCAAATTCAAGTATCTAGATGTGTATAAGAGACAGGCCCTACATTCAGGCCTCTTGATTGTAGTAGGCCTAGCCTAGGCATAGCCAAAAGGGCCTAGGCCTAAAAAGTAAGAATTAGTTTTTCTCCATGATCCAAGCATATTACTCTACCTTATTTGGCTAAAGTACAAAATTATGCAATAAACAGTCACCATGTTTTAAAATTCAGCATATTTAATTGTAATGTGAGATCCGACTCCGGATAATTCCCCACAAACAACTGGATTGTGATATAATAGAATGTCAAAAAAAAAAAAAATTAATACTATCTTATCACATATACAACACAGCTCAAATTCAAGTCCAACATATAAACTTAACAGAAAACAAAGTTCTTTTTTACAACAAAATTGAAGATAATGTACACAAAGTGATAAAAAAGAAACAAAAAAAAAAACAAGAGACAAATAAGCTGCAATATTTCATAGATGATTACGTAATAATAGGGGGTGCTGTTACCATGACAACGTGCATCAGGTGGTTGAATATCACCTGGGAAGGGGAGGGGGGAGGGGAGGTGGATGGTGGAGGAGTTGACCTGAATGTATAGTGGAGGGGCTCAATGATTAAGTGGGGGAAGGAACTATCTTGTGATGAAGGGTAATTTTCAACCACATAAGCATACATTTTTTTCTCGCTAATTTCCTGTGAGGGCACATACTAAAATTAGTTTCCAGTACTTGTACAAACATTATTTCCAGCAAGATGACATTATACATTGTATATTGCATTTGGTGAAACAGGATCCAACTTTAATTTCGTCATTCTATAAAGATATATCATCTGTTAAGCTGTCACACTAATTCTCTTAGACACAGAAACTGTTGCATGCCCATATATAGTCATGATGTGCCTATATATGGTCATGATGTGATGTCATCATGACCATATTTTGGCATGTCACATGTTTTTGTCAAATAAAATTAATTTGATGATCTGAACATGGTTAATATAACAAAGTAAAACCTTAGCTCTACTTACAGGAGAAAATAAGTTATTAACTTTCGATAAAAAAAGATCAAGTTTTTACTGATTTACCAACCCTTTTTTTTAATGCAGTACTACAAAAATCTTAACATTCATTACCACCAAATTTAAGGGTCTACGCAAAAGAATATAGGACTTGGGTATTATTTTTGTCTGTTATTTGGTGAAGAAAATAATCTATCATTGAAAGTTAAAAGCAGATGGTATAACTTCAATATCTAAAAGTATTCTTTTCAAGAATTCCTAATTAAAATTGTTGCCTTAAACTGTATGAGGATAACAATCCAATTAGAGAAAGGATCAGTTTTGCATTATTTCTTTGGGATATCACAAACAAAAGAATTTGCTGGCTTTTTCCTACCCCCTTTTATTCCCAAATGCTTAATTGATGTAATTTAAGATAATGCCTTTGATGTGTAATTCTATCTTCAATTTATTAAGTTAGAAATCAAAATCATTCATATTACAAATTTTGTCCAAATATGATGAAGCATTCTGCCAGGATTTTAAGAAACTAAAAGTGTACTGCTGCATACTGCATTTATTAAACTTTTTAAGCCATAATGATACGTTGTAAAATGACAAACATAAAACAAAAATCACTGCTTTTTTTATAATGATCTCATGATAATGAGTTAATAAAAAATAATTCAAATTCAAAAATAGAATAAAAGATCATAATAATAAATAAATAATAAACATTTTAATGATCTTTTCTTTCTAAGCAAAACAAGTGTAGGATTAACATCTATTGATAACCAATAATGAGTAATAATAAAACACAACTGAATGTACAGTAATGATGTATTTACATGAATTGCACAAACCAATGGCATCATGTTGCCATAGTAACAGCCACCTATGTACAAAAATAGTATCTAAGTCATTATAACTTCATTTTTTAAACATACAAACATAGATGACATTTTGACCCACTTTTGTTTAATACCATAAATCAAAAAAATTAATCAAAAACAGGTGGGAAAACCTAAACATGATGATTAATCAATTCATCGATTAATTGATATGATTAATTAATCAATAATAGTAATAATTAATTATGTATTTAAATCATTTTCAGTACCACAATTGATAAAAATGCATTAACATCCATTTTCCTGCCCCTAAGCTATTTTTTTTTCATGGTTTGCCTGAGATTCAAGTTTGTACATAATAATACAATACAAAAATTGTACAATCTACTAACAAATGCTGTTATGAACAATTCGGTTATTCGCAGTCTTTTTAAGACCTGTTATGCAACATGAATCTCACATATAAAAATAATGGTATGAAGTCTGTATGCCATCAATAACTACAAATAAAATTTTTAATATTGATATGCAAATTTTTATATAAAAAACAAAACATTAGGCCTACTCATTATCAATATCATAAAGTGAATGACAGGAGAATATGAGGTCAGTGTTTTTACATTTCTCATCAGTGTACACTGCATAAAAAAAAAAATCTTAAGGTAGATTTTGAAGGGTATAAAAGAATCAATCAGTTATATTTACGAATTGAACAATAAATCCGTCAATAAAGTACTATTCTATTGAAATGATAGGTAGAATCACAGATGTACAGTAATTGCTACCTATTGGCCGAATTTGCACTTTGCATTACAAAATAACAAAGAGTGACATACATATTATGCACCTCATTAAACCCACTACATCAAACTGATGTGTAGTAGGAATAATGTATAACAGGAAATTTAGCTCATAATTTATATAATGAAATTTCTTGCAAATTACTTTTGAGATTTTTCTTAATATAACTCACTCGACATTCAGTGGCATATCTGGGGTGGGGGTGCGAAGTTTGGAGCGCGGGGCTTGAAAATTGTGAGGAGCTAGGTTGCAAAATAAGGTGATTTAATTGACTACCTGAGCTTGCCTTTTTGCTTCGAACATATTCAATGGGGGAGGGGAGGGGCAGTGACCGGGGAAGCAAGCAATTTCTTTTGGGGAAGACCACCGACCCCTTAGAGATGCCACTGGTATTGATCCAAGAGTGGTTACTTGGCATAACATGCTTTGTGGTGTATATATAATCCATACCTTAACCAACAAACAGATGATATATTAACACTGTAATATTTGAAGAATTCTAAATCTTACATGTTCCTTCAGGTAAAATACAACCCAGAAATGTGGAGGACTAAAAGAGGAAAACTCCACAGGGACACAGCCTGGGAATGACCTACGACCCATACAGGCATGTGGAACAAACATAAATCATGTGAGGCCACAACAGAAAATATTCTGTCAACTGCCATTGAAGCCCCTGCTGTAGATACTTTTTAGGCATGGCCCCATCTCAACCCAGAGTCCTGAAATCCCCCCCAGTGGCCCTGTTTGAGGTCATTGTGAAGGTAAATAATAGCCAAGCATTATATCAATGTCTACTAATGAAATGATGTAATGTGATTTATTCTTCTTAGAAGGCATTGATGCAAAGCTGAAGTGTATGATCAACTAGGCACTGTGGTCACTTCTATCTAAGAGCTTATTGCTATACCAAGGTATATAATTTTAAAACGACAAGAAAATGTACACAGAGCACCAAATAAACTAGTGAAAAAATCGGGGGAAAAGTGTAGATTTAAGAAATTGGGTGTGTGTTTCAGGTACAGTTAGAATATTTTATGGATGAGGGTTATAAATCTGGTAAAATACAGAATATGGTGGCAAGCCATCCACGGCAATAGGGTGGGGGACGTAAAACCATTGGAGTGGGAACTGAGAGTGAAGCACACAGATCCAATAATTTAGCATTGTTGAAAGCATATTTAATTAATTTTAGAGTCTCATATTCCATAAAAACTTACATAGAATTTTTTTTTCCTCTTTCACAAATTGTTTTTTCTCCCTAACCCACTCTCCCTTATAGGGGTCCTGGCCACCTCTGATTTCTCCACTGGCACCACCATTGAAGCAGAATACAGTAATGTTGAAAAATAATTAATTAGGAAAACCAATATCATTCGTTCTGTGTATCATCATTCAGATCTGTTCACTATTTTTACTCCAAACAATATTATTGATTATTGTTATAAATGCTTTATGATGCTAGTAAATAAATAAGATATACATATGTACGCAATATATTTCACAAAAACTGAGTAAGAACTACCGCTATTTGTATTCTCTATGTTTGTCTTAACTGGTAACTAATACTCAATTTTTTAAGCAAGGTTTTCTTTTTTGATTATGATATATTCCTGTCCTTTTCAATTTAATTCAAAAGGTTAAAAAAATAAATAAATAAAAAAATTATGGATTAAAATATAGGCTACTTGGCAAGACTTTAGCTGAAGACAACCGCAACATACATCAATTGAAAACGTGTTTCATTTCATCAAAATAATTCACTTAGGCCTGTAACTAAGATTGTCTACAGGGAGCCAAAGGTTTTGGGGACACCTAGTTGGGGTTCAGCAGAAGAGATTTTGCAAAGCCCCTAAGCTAAAGCATTCTTTACAGCATGTAAATGGGTGAATTTCTTTACTTTGATGGTACTTGTTGCAAGGGAAGAAAGTGGTTTGGTCTATAAAGTCCTGTTTATACTTGCAACGATAACGATAAAAAGCTAAAAAGCAATTGATCATATAGAAAATAAAAGAAATAAGAAGTTTTTACACTAAGACGATTCATATTTTGTTATTGTATACATCCTCATAATGTAAACATCTCTCTTATTTCTTTCATTTTCTAAATGAACAATTGCCTTCTAGCTTTTATCGTCAACGTTAATGTTGCAAGTATAAACAGGCCTTAAGAAAGGGGTTTCACTCGATTACGGCCGGACATAGATATGAAATGAAGATGTATGGTAATTTGCTGTAAGCTGTGTATTTAAACCAAGCCTAACAAATTTGGAGAGTATATATTATCAAAAATGACAAACTATCTGCATAATAATTAGACTGTAAGTGTGATATAGCACCTAAATTACAGATGAACTATAATTTTATAAGGTTATTCTATATAGAAAAAAATCTTCAAAGCAAATTGTAGTGATCAATCGAAAGTAACAAAAACAGTTTGATTATTAAACCGATTATTATTTTTACATTTTACTGAGTACCGTATGTGTCTTGGTGAAAAGAAAAAAAAATTTGACTCAAAGATCGGTCAGAATTGATTTAGCCACATGCTTGGGGATAATTCAATAAAGTTAAATTTAATAAAGTTAAATGCATCTACAGTATGTATTGAATAAAATGTATCTATGTATTGAAAGCATGGTATCTGTTTGGTTTCATAGTAACAGAGAATCAAAAAACCCCAATTAAACATTGCTTTACTGAGTAAAATCAGTGGAGTTGTTAAAAGAATAGTAGAATGTAAGCAACGTATTCGCTTCTTAAAACTAGAAGCTTTACCTTAAGATACCCCAACAATGGCCATTTCAGTGCATGACATTTTGAAAAATATAGCATGTATATTTTAATGTTTGCGTTCAAATTATTTATAGTGAAGAAATCGCTCAGAAATTTGAATAAAAAATGTTTATAATCTATCTTGATAATTGGATTATTATCCTATTCCCAATTTTACAGCAATAATGTTTGATGTCAGACTAACCATGTACTTCCACTTTCCACCTACCCTCAGGGTTGAGTACCTAATTGATGTCCAAGACAACAAGATATCAATTCATCCAAAGGATACTATGGGTTTGGATTTATCAAACTTGGATTAGAAAACTGCTTAAGTCAACAAACATTATGGTAGTCCCAAGTGAAATTAGAGCTGATTTATCAAGCCACGTCAGCATTAACATTTACTTAAGTGCTGTAGCTAAAACATTTTACGTGTGAAACCCACACAGATTTCAGGCAGTGATGAGACAGAAAATGTACTACTGTACATTATCACAATTTTTTATGTAATTTCTTTGCTTGGTACAATTGATAAAAAATCCGAGATAGGCAAAATCATGGACTACATAAGATTTTCTTTTTCTAAGAAGTTTGGTAATGCCACACCCTGATTTTTGGTTGATCTTGAAATTAAAGTTGATATAGATTCCTTGGATTTACAGTATATTGAAGAACATACAAAAAAAATTTATTATGTGAACTAACGGCCATCAATTGGCTGTGCATGTCAGGAGCCACCTTGCTTAGAGACATGAGGCACTAAACTGGGACTGGACAAAGCTACCATAGGTGTCGTATTTGGAATAACACTTGGATTGATAAAGTTCGCTTGGGGTTGATCGGTGTTTTGTGGCACTGCGGGCGGAGTAAACATCCGTTGATCCTGAATGTCAGGTAAATGTCTCGCCAATGAAACTTTTGATGGGAATGTTGGCGAGAAGCCCGGCAATGCCGTGTGCATAGTTGCACGAGTAGGATTTATAAATGGCAACGGTGAAGTGGGTTGCACAAGAGACGAGTTAGTTGTTAAAGCATTCCATGGCATTCGAAAGTTCTGCATGAGGATCTGACTCGCCGCGGCATCCAGTGGCGAGGCTGACATTTGACCTGGGAGTAGCGTGGCCTGAGGTTGGTTTATAGGCCGACTATGTAAAATCTGATTAGCGAACTGAGTCGTATGTTGATTTAGTAACTGGTGAGGAGAAACGGTTGTGTGCGGTGACATTGTCTGGTCAGTGCTGAATTGTCTTTGTAAGTTCAACATTGCACTGGTGTTGGCTTGATTCAGACCATTGGTCAGCAATGTAGTGTCCACTAAATCATCCTTACCCTGGGCAGGTGATATCATGGGCCTTGGTACAGTCAACATTCCTGGGACAGGATTAAATGCGGCCTGTGTGGTAGCCAGCGTACCTTGACTGTTGGGGCTAAATGAATTACTTGAAAACGAGTTCGCAATTTGCATAGTATTAAGTCCGTTGAGGGAGTTTTGTCGTAACGTATCTTCCATTAGTCTGGTAGCGGCAGCTTGTAGGTCACTGGGTAGTTCATTGGGATCTCCTTGGTTCATCGCTTCGTCTTGGCTTGAATTACTCTCCTGATCGGACATCATAGCAAACGAGAACTGATCAAGTGATGCTTTAGCATTGCTCACTTCGTTAGAAGCCTGGAGAAGTGCACGCTCTAGTTCTTCCTGTTCTTCGGTGGTTGGTAAAAAATCTCCATTTTTACCTACAAAGAGACAATTTTTTCTTTTATATCAGTAATCTAATACTAAATGGCAAAGCATCTTTATGATTTGGAGAGTTTAGTTGAGAACAAAATCTGACACTGAACACCTGATAATTGAATCGAAATAAAAAATACTGTATTCAACCAACTTTACAGTATTTTAAAATGTACAATACACAAAGCCAAACAATTTGCGACTAATTATTATGCAAACAAAATTGTTGGGTTTGGTTCAACGACACACAGATGGTCTAACAGTCAAATTTTTGAATGATGATAATTGTAATGATTACAGTTGAACAAACCAATTAGGCTTATCAAGGTCTTTGTTAATTTGATGTTATCATGTCCAAAAGATAAAGAGTAGACAAGCACACTGTTCTACGCAGACAATATTTTGTTTTGCTTGTACAAAAAATTCAAAAAAATTTAAAATCATATTACATCCTATTAGCTGTTGTCTATGGCACAGGTGGGCGAAGTACTTCCCTCGGGCCACATGCAGCAATTTTGTTGCGTCCCTATATATTAAAAACCCAGCATGTATCGCCCACCTACCAATTTGGCAAAAGAAAACCCTTTTTCTGCTACATCCCGGTGCAAATGAACATTAAAACAAAGCATAATGTAAATAAAAAAAGCAGTATGAAGGTTTTTGTAAGCATATTGAAAACGCCAATATTTAACCATAGGTTAGCTATTAGCCCTTAGTGTTAAATGAAAAAATTCAGCTGTGCCCCTGCAAACCATTTTAATGCCCTCCCCTGGTCTATGGTAAAATTTACAGCCATTATGTGGAATAGGAATTCTAGCAGTTCCTAATTATAAATTACATTAAATATAATCATAAATTGCCAACAAACCTCCAAACATTTTTACACCAAAAATATCTGTTAAATCATCTGCTTGAAGTTTTGGTAACAAATTGGCGAAATCGTCTTTGTCGTCCACGTCTATCTGGAGGTCAGACGTGTCAAGTGGCAAGCCAGCGTGGCCATCAAGGTTAAATGAAATATCACTGGCATCAATGCCATCGGGAGCTGGGCTCAGCTGCGACGGATCTATGCCAAGGTTTAGCGACGACAGCATTTCAAACCCTAGAGGTTCTGCAACAAAAAATAAATGATTAAGAAGAATCAAGTTATTACAGGGCACTGTACATAATCTAAGACAAATTGTATATATTTGGAGTATAAATGGGTACCTGAGGAGGTTTGAATGCTAAATGCGCTAATATATTTTATGCAGCAAACTATGGAATTTCCCACACAGGCATCGTTCCAATGACTGGGGTAATAATGTGGAAAAGCACTCTGAGACTTAGTTGTATAGAGCGCTACATAAAAGCCTACATAATATTTTATAATTATTATTATTATTATTATTATTATTTTTATATTATTATTATTATTATTATTATCACATTACATTTAACAAAAACATAGTCTGGAAAGAGCTTTAAGCCTACATGGTAACTTTTAATTTGTATTATGATACAGGTTACAATATAAATTGGGTGAAGAAACCAACCTAATGGAGGAACCGGTTTCTGCGGACGAGTTACTTTTTGTTGCTTCTTTTTCTTCTTCTTGAAAGGTCTCGTTAAGGCAGATGGTTTTGTTTTCTTTCTTGGCCTACGGGGTTTAGGCTGGCATTTCTGAAACAAATACAAACCAGTGTTTAACTTTGATCACCAAATATACTGTATCTATATTTATAAAATAAACAATTAAAAAAGCAAGTTGGATTCTAATAGGGGAACTAGTATTGATAAGCCTCACCTCACCATCAACGGGACTGCAGTGAATACCAACCTATTTATGCAATTCATTAATTACGATTAATTATATGTATTACATTTTTAAAGATATATTGTATTTATATTTATCTGATAGCCAAAATATATATAATTATTTTGTTTAGGATAAAATGGAGCTTAGGAAATATACATCGATCACTGAATTCTAACCAGGCCTAGAATAATGGCCAATAAAAAAGAATTAATAACAACCATATTTAAATTTTGAAAATTTATACAGCTACAATCTTTAGAAGTATAAGCCATACACCGGCAACAAACTCGGGTTAAAATACAGTACCGCACTCAATTTTTGTTGTGATGGTGATCATCACTTTGCTCGAGTTCCTCGTTGTCAATGTCACAAAGCCACAATTATTGTCAATATTGAAGCAATGTACCTGCAGATTGTTTTTAAATATGCGAACTAAATCAGCAGTTTTGATATCAAGTCTATACCGGAGCGTAAAGGGTTTAATTTGAAAAGTGTCTAGGCCTAACCCATTGATAGCAAAGTTTAGGCCTACCTGACCACAGCTCGGAAGGTGCCAGGGTAAGGGCTAATTCCGCAATAAATTTTGGTGCTGTTTACACTGGAGACCCCGAAATGCACCCGGGTTGTCCTATGCTGGATGCGTCCCACACATCCATCCCGGAATGCTTAGCAACCCGAGTCAGACTTTTTGACGTTTACACTAACTCGGGAGGTTATGTCCGGAATTTTGCTTGCAGTGCAAAAGGGGTATGAGGGTTAATGTAATCATGCCAGATGTCAGAATAATAATAATATTTTTCTTTTGTATGTCTTACCAAAACACTTGCATGAAAATCACATAAGACTCTTTCATTATCGATGATATATGCGGTATTCTTGCACTGCGTGTAATCAGATTGTATCCCAGTGCACTGGTAGAATAGCTGCTGATGCTCATTCTCAACGACATCTGATACAACATGTCAAGGTTATAACAACAATAGTTGTACATTCTAAAAGTAGTAATATGTATTATTAAGAATAGTACTAATGCATATTAGTAATAGTACTAATGCGTACTAAAAGTAGTAATATACATTAATTAGTACTATGCATATTAATAATAGTACAAATGCATATTAATAATTAGTAATGCATATTAATAATAGTAATGCATATTAATAGTCTTCTTTTTCTTATCGTGTCACTACGTAGCTAGTGTGTATGATCTAGCTTACGTAGTGTGGTAGAAGGATTCGCAGGTAGGATGGATACCTGACATGGGCCGCGATATAAACGCTCCCTCTGTGGCCGGACAAGGAACTAGAGATGGACCAGTACACTGGGGTTACCCCCTACTCTTCTTAAATGATGTACTGGGTTCTTTAAAGTGCACACGAGCCAATTGTGTACACTGGGCCTACGGTTTAGAGTCCTTATCCAAGAAGACTTGTTCCACCACCGGAAAACCATAGGCGAGCGTGCTGTGCGAACCAGCGCCGATATTATGGCTGTAAGTCATTGTTCCCATGTCTTAACCGCTCGGCCAATCGACTAGCCATATTTATGGCTAGTAAAATGACCTAACGAGAATTCATATTAATAATAGATAATAAATGACAATTTATATTAATAACAGAAAATATTAATAATAGTGATATAATAATATTAGTAATGTGCATTAACAGTATATACTTAATAGTAATACATATCATTAATCAGTAATACATACACCAATACATTTTAGACTGGGGTAGCTCTTCTCTACAAGCACTTTCTGCATTTGCTTCTTTTCACGCAGGAGTATAAATGGTTTCCCAGTGGGAGGTGCATGATTCGGAATGAAATTAGTACTTGATAATTACACGCGTAATTAGGAATACTCCTGAGGGAGTGGAAGAGGCTGCACGTTGTGCGTGATCAATTCTGTATTCAATGACTAGGGAAAAAAGCACCTTGATCAGTTCTCCCATAATTGGATATGTGTGGTACATAAATATTATATAATAATAATAATATTATTTTGGTTTCTACAGTGCCAAATGTTAAAGCCTTTAGGTGCTATAAAAAATAACTAACAATTTTTAAAAAATATGGTAATGATAATACTAGTAATTGAATAGAGTTGTAAATTTCGTAAAATACAAAATTCTTAACAAAGATATGGATTAACTTATGTTCTACAGTGAATGAATAAACTGGTAAATTAAACGCAATCTATAGCATCTTTGCTAGAAAGATCGAGTCGACTCTAGCGAATCGACCGCAGGCCAATACTTTTTCATAGATATGGTCAATAGGGCGAGGGTTTGTAATCTCTGATTATTTTCTTATTATTGCTACCGTATTTAGCATGCAAACCTTCAAGAGAGGATGCACTCAATTTTCACACCCTCTCCCCAAGGCTGAATACAGCCTGAAAATCATTGAAATAAACTTTAACACTTTATTAAAACGTAAAACAAAACAAGGATACGTTTGAAACAATGCGTTGAAAAAGGCAAGCCTTTCTCCGCACATCCCTTCCCATCTTCATCAATATAACAACAATCAGGAGCATGACAAATTTTCCTGTGTTTTTCCCTGGGGGAAAAAAAGAAAAGAATTAGAGTAAATGGCTATGCGGAAACAAAATGTGCATTTTTGTGGGTGCTTATTTCAAATTGGACCACCGAACTGAAACAATAGTATTGGGCCAACCACATGCACACTTTGAGATAGTTTGAGACAAGCCTAAAACTTGAGCAGTGAGGATCAATTTCGGATTAGGTTTGGCATATGCGAGGTCTCGCCACAAAATGAGTCTCATGGTTAGAAATTCAAAAATCGAGTTTATATTATATTTGGGTATATCACATGACAAGCTTTCATTTGGCCTTTGAATGGCTTCCCTACTATAAGTAAATCCAGAGATGTGAACATTTAAAGTTTAGGTGTATAAGAACCACGTTTTGAGAAAATCTGCCTCAAAGATAAACTAACCTGTACAAATAATATGACTAGAATGACAGAATATGTGCAGAGAACACTGTTTTGGCAAGAAAATTCACTTAAAAAGTATACAATCATAAAATATAAGTATCAAGTTATTCAAAAACATTAAAATCAAAATATTGTATTAAATGTTGACAATATAATTTCACCAACGATGCATCTCATTTCGGTGAGACCTCACATATTTACTTCATTACTCTCTTCTGCTTTATTAATTGATAAAGCATGTTTTGGTTTTTGTAGGTTTTCCTCAAAAACCTTCTTTCTGCATTTTAGTGGAGAGTAGTGAAGTTAAAACCATACACTGTATATAGGTCACAAGTTAATTATTAAACATATTTAGTAAGGCTTCTTTTCAAAGAAAAAAAATCTGAATTTTTTTCCTTGATGAACAGTATTATTTTTCAGTTTACCGGTAATCATGATTCAATTTTGCATGGTTCATTGGTACTGTAGTGATTGTGTACTCTAAAACATTCTTCAATTACTATGCAACACTTCACAAATACAAATGAACAATGAGATTTGCCTGTTTTTATGCTTACATCACATACTGTACAGTAGTGCCTTTTCAATTATTACCTTTGCTGGCTACGCACAACAGAACAATAACAATAACAATCTTAAATTTCACTTTAATTTGAGCCACTTACCGTTTTGGTAATTGGTTCTTGATTTCTAAAAGAAGTTTTGTTGTTGCAGCTACGTGTTGCCTTGTCGCTTCCACCAGGGCTAAGCAAGATGCACGTTCCGACGCTTGTTCACGTTTCGATGTTTCTGATCTCAACGCTAACAGGCAGTTTTTACGGACCTGAGACTTGCGTTGCGTTAATAATTCACTTCGTGATATTTCAGGGCTAGTTCTAAGTTTCAAACGAAGAGAAAATATGAACAATTACCTTTTAGGATGTTTTTAAAATTTTAAGCACAACAGAATGACAATACATCCATATCACAGAACTACTGAACGTTATGCTCGAAGTTAAAATAATTCAAAGTGTTCAACATTATTTTGGATGGGATAAAATAAATGGTTATGACAAATTTTCATCTATATTGTTGTTACAGCTTATTTCTCACAGCAACTATCTTCTGTCCTATATTTCAGGATATGTGCAGTATGTAAGTCTACTAGTATAGTATGCAATTAGGAGCAGTACTTCTGTACGTTATACCTGGATTAATTATTTGAATTTAAAATGATGCACTGTAGTCAATAAGCCTATAATTAGGGACAAGACACATGCTGTGGGCTTTGATAATGACTAATGCAACAACTAAAAAATTATAGTACAGAATACAAATACATGGTCAAGTACACAAGGTGGAGTGAGGCACAGTATTCTCAATCATCCAACACAGAGGGAAGTAGAATTCACTGCTTTATACAGTTTTGTATTCGTTTTACTATCTCATACAGTATAGTACTGTAGACACTGTACAACACTGTACTCTACTTTACATACTAACATTTCGAGCTGCAAGTGTTATTATATACATAGTTGACGTATTCGCTTCATTTAGCCCGGCATACAATAATCAATTCTGGATAGTACAGTACTTTTGTCTTTTTAGTTGAAAATAATATTGTACCAAGCACTGAGTGAAATTGAACAATGAAATGTTGTTTACCGTACTACACCTAATACTTATGAGGTGTAATAAAATATATTACATATCCTGTAGTTCACAATCTTCCTTTATTATTAATCAGCTCATAAAACAATAATAATTGAATACACATCCTAAAAAGGCCTAGATTAATTCGCAGCTTTGTATACAGTATTATGAATTGATTACCATAGTACGGTACTACATTTTTTCATGCATGTTAATTACCACAAAGCCCGAGGCTATCACTATGAATCTGTACTGTAAACAAGTCCTAATAGAACAGACAAAGTTCTAAGAAGCAACACCAAATGTACAATACTGTATTGAATTCAGTTTCAGATACCGGTAATCAATGGAAATTAATTATACTCAGGGAAACCACTAAGTACAAGTAAATTTAATCAAGGATTAATATTAATGAAAAATCTACTTTCATTTTTTCTCCTTCCATCTTTTTTCATTACTTCTAAACAATAAATAATAGTACCCATTCGAAAATGCAAATGGAAATAAACAAATTTTGAGGAAGAGAAACTGTAAATAATTTTTTTTTTCGCACATAACCACTGCGAGTCTGACTGAGACACTGCTCACAGCAATCACAGCATGGAGGTGCTCTTGTATTGAGCATCCATTTTTGAGAGGAACATACAAATTTATATGGTTGCGGGATCGCCTGTGCTTGGCGCTAGAGCCGACTGTTCAATTTTGTTTTCGAGGGGTGTTCTCTTTTGGGAGAGATTAAGGCAATTAATTGGTCCCTTACCTCTGACTTACTCTACAGTAAACTGTAGTTCAATACAGCACTCCAATATTCTAATAACTCTATGACAGCCATTGACAGACTGGCAATTTCACAACTAGTGTTTTTTAAGTGTTTGTTTTTATATTGTTACTAATTATTGTTTCTGTGAATCAAATTGGCCTGAAAAAGTTTGGGGCATCTAAATTAGAGAAATTTTTCACTATAACATCCATTATACAAACACTGTAAAAAACAATAAAAATGATAATATTTCAATATAAATCTTACAGAAGTAGTTTTAATAAGAATAAGACAAGATATTATAAATATGATATTTATCAGAATAGGACTACTGTACATGAGTAAAAATGAATAAATGATTTGATTCATGTATTTCTTCTCTGGTATGTTTCAATTCCTTAAACATGAATGCTCCACTTCCAATTTGGTCCTATGTAGTTATTAGGTCTTTTTTTTTATACGCTCCTGTTCGCCTATTTACCATGAATTACATTTGTTCACTCGGACTATAAATACTTTTAAGTGCTTGCTTTTAAGTATTGTTAAACCGGAGATGGCAGTTGAACTGTTGAAACATGTTTGTACCAATTTTTATAACAAAACAGTTAGGCTCAGCATAATGGTATCATTCATTAACCTGGTTGGCGATAAAATAACCTTTTATGATCCTAAAATTTGATGTAGAGTTATTGTTTAGTTCCACATTTGCAGTGAAATTAAGGGGCGTTTATTGGAGTTCTATTTATTTTACACCAATACTGTAGACAGGTTTCGCACACAAACGTGTAGGGTTAGTGTGACAAATATGTCATTAGTTTGATGTCATACGCAGGCTGCTATCCGCTAAACGTGTGGACGACACGCATAACTCGCTCAGTACACGTAAGTGAAAAACGCGTAGGGAAATTTTGGATTTCTAGTTAGGATCTTAGTTTATTTTTTCACATTTTACGTAAGTGTAAACAAAAACGTATCTTTGAAAATTTACGTGCCATTTTTGTGACATCTGAAGACAGCAAATTATGATAGGATGTGTCCCATTTTGGGATACCAAAACGTCAGTGCTTTGACTTTGGTGGTGTCAGGATTTTGTGTAGGCCTAGGCCCCAGGCCTACCTGTAGCCAGGCACTTTTGGGTCATAAACAATAGCGCCTATCACAAAATAACCAACACTTCTGGGCAACAAAGGAAGTATTTTTCAGCTACAATTTTCAATTTAAATTTCCAAAACCTTACTTACTAATAAAACTTTGAGAAGCATGATGAGAGGAGAGAACAGAATAGTACTAGGCCTAAGCTACTGTAGGTCCCAGGCGTATTAGGGTACGCTTGAATTTCGCTGTGATTGCAAAAGACACAGAATGGCTACAAACTGTTACGGATAGCTAAACTTATGCGTATACATATTTGTTTGCATTAGAAACCTCTCTATTAAAAAAAAAATAGAAGCCTCCTTCAAATAAATGCCCTCTCAATAATATACGCCCTGGGGTTACAGCTGTCTCTTATACACATCTAGATGTGTATAAGAGACAGAGACTGTAGCCTAATACTATTTTAGAAGGCTACTAAACTGTGTCTTGCTTGCTGTATCCAGTGAGTTGTTATATACTAACACCTCCCTGCTGTACAGTATCTTACTAATACACAACCTGTTAATCAATAATGACTACTGTACATACCGTTTTGTTTCTTCATCAGATGAGGGCAGGGATGTTCTATGACATGTTGGCACTTGGCCACTTTCTGTTTCAGAATCTTCCTCATCAGAGTCTTCTAACCCTGATTATTTTTAAGAAAATAAATCAACAACTGATTAAAAAATTATGCCTTGGTTGTATGATGCTAAACTTCACTTCTGATAACTACTGTATATGGAACACATGTAATTTCCAATCCTTTAAAATGGGTGAAAAATTGCAGTTAAATCAAACCCATGACCATATTATTAAGTATTATAAATACAATAAAACGCTCAAATTATAACTACAATTTTACAGTTATAGTACAGATGTGTATAAGAGACAGGAACAGGACTACTGTACATGAGTAAAAATGAATAAATGATTTGATTCATGCATTTCTTCTCTGGTATGTTTCAATTCCTTAAACATGAATGCTCCACCTCCAATTTGGTCTTATGTATTTCTTCATCTTTATTTGGTCTTTTTTTTTCATACGCTCCTGTTCGCCTATTTACCATGAATTTGTTCACTCCTATAAATACTTTTAAGTGCTTGCTTTTAAGTATTGTTACACCGGAGATGGCAGTTGAACTGTTGAAACATGTTTGTACCAATTTTTATAACAAAACAGTTAGGCTCAGCCTAATGGTATCATTCATTAACCTGGTTAGGGATAAAATAACCTTTTATGATCCCAAAATTTGATGTAGAGTTATTGTTTAGTTCCGCATTTGCAGTGAAATTAAGGGCGTTTATTGGAGTTCTATTTATTTTACACCAATAGACAGGTTTTGCACGCAAACGTGTAAGGTTAGTGTGACAAATTTGTCATCAGTTTGACGTCATACGCAGGCTGCTATCCGCTAAACGTGTGGATGACACGCATATCTCGCTCAGTACACGTAAGTGAAAAACGCGTAGCGAAATTTTGGATTTCTAGTTAGGATCTTAGTTTATTTTTTCACATTTTACGTACTGTAAGTGTAAACAAAAACGTATCTTTGAATACGTACGTGCCATTTTTGTGACATCTGAAGACAGCAAATTATGATAGGATGCGTCCCATTTTGGGATACCAAAACGTCAGTGCTTTGACTTTGGTGGTGTCAGAATTTTGTGTACGCCTAGGCCCCAGGCCTACTTGTAGCCAGGCACTTTTGGGTCATAAACAATAGCGCCTATCACAAAATAACCAACACTTCTGGGCAACAAAGGAAGTATTTTTCAGCTACAATTTTCAATTTAAATTTCCAAAACCTTACTTACTAATAAAACTTTGAGAAGCATGATGAGAGGAGAGAACAGAATAGTACTAGGCCTAAGCTACTGTAGGTCCCAGGCGTATTAGGGTACGCTTGAATTTCGCTGTGATTGCAAAAGACACAGAATGGCTACAAACTGTTACGGATAGCTAAACTTATGCGTATACATATTTGTTTGCATTAGAAACCTCTCTATTAAAAAAAAAATAGAAGCCTCCTTCAAATAAATGCCCTCTCAATAATATACGCCCTGGGGTTACAGGTTAAATACTGTAAATATGGTAATACTAAACTGTGTCTTGCTTGCTGTATCCAGTGAGTTGTTATATACTAACACCTCCCTGCTGTACAGTATCTTACTAATACACAACCTGTTAATCAATAATGACTACTGTACATACCGTTTTGTTTCTTCATCAGATGAGGGCAGGGATGTTCTATGACATGTTGGCACTTGGCCACTTTCTGTTTCAGAATCTTCCTCATCAGAGTCTTCTAACCCTGATTATTTTTAAGAAAATAAATCAACAACTGATTAAAAAATTATGCCTTGGTTGTATGATGCTAAACTTCACTTCTGATAACTACTGTATATAGAACACATGTAATTTCCAATCCTTTACTGCAAAATGTCTTATTCGTTTGAGCATCAAGAATTGGGGTGTGCCAAATGGGTGAAAAATTGCAGTTAAATCAAACCCATGACCATATTATTAAGTATTATAAATACAATAAAACGCTCAAATTATAACAACAATTTTACAGTTATAGTACCAACAGTTGAATTAATGCTGTATAGTAATATTGTACAATTCACAAAAAATACTATCCCTGCTATATTTTGAAATTTACAAATAACAACATTATAGCGCACACTATATTGATTGACCTTTAGACGTAGGTGGTTACACTATACATTATATTGTACATTTACACACCTGTCAATAGATTGCAACAAAAACATGAAACACATACAATACTACAGTGCACTCAATGGGGATGTAAAAGCAAATACACTATAAGTGTACTGGCGCAATGGGTATTTGTGTATCCAGGAATTTGAAAATGGCGTTGCTGAGTAGTATTCAATTCTACTAGCTGATTAATTAAAGAATAATGGACAAAATCTAACTAGTACAAACTTAATGGTATTAGAGAAGCGAAAATAAAACAAGAATTTAATCAGAAAATGGATGTTTCTTGACATTTAATGCTTGTTGCTATTATTTATTAATGTACTATAACAAATTAGTTTTCCATTTACTTCCATTTACTATTATTTTTTTTCAAGAGGGAGATGCTCAGGCACCTTGATCACTGGATACAGTATAAAAGAAAAAGGAATGTAAATAAAATTCCAGAGTGCTACTGTAGTATATGCTATAAAGTACAGTAGGCCTTTACTTTTGGAAATACTGTACCTGCGGGCAAATCTATCGAATACTCCCTATGGAATTACAACACTAAACATGAATTTACTGTAATACTGTAGTACTGTACATGCAGGTCAAGGTCAGTACAAATATTAAAAACAAAATCTTGTATATAAACCGTGAGAACCCCACTGACTGAAAAAAAAATGTCCAATTATTGAGCAGAAATAAAATATGTACTGTACTTCATTACATTTACAACCGCAAGTTATTAACATACAACTTCTGAAATGTTACGTTAGTAATGTATACAGTACTGTAAAATAAATCATGAAAAAAAAAGGCTCCTGATGACAGGAGCATGAAATACACTGCAGAAACTAGCGTTTTACAGGTACTGTACATTTTGTGAAGTAAAATGTCCCGAGGACAGTTAGTCAAGTGTTTAACATGCGTATCGTCATCACACAGTTATCAGCTATTTGTTGTCATCTGTCAAAAGCTAGGACCACTTATACTAACTCAACTACATTCACAATGTATAGTACAGTACTTGGCATGCCTGTCCAAAGAAATGAACAGAAAAATTCCACTTCACTACCACATCAGAGTAGAGGCCTACAAATCTGCACTAGTGCACTATACTCACTTAGAGGTTTACTTACCTAACGGAAAGAGATCAAGATTCTTATGCTCCTCTGCTCGGTATATATCCTTTAATTTATCTACTTCTTCAACACCAGTTTTCTCAATAAAAACCTGCCTCGGTCGTTTTGGTCTTGCTTGTAATATTGGCACATTGGGTGGCAAATAGGCAGGCGTGATATGGAATGATTTGCTAGAATTTTGGGGCTTTGCGTCCTTTAATAGAGAACTGCACAAATTACTCTGTGAGTTTGTATTTGGTTGCTCCTGAAACGTCCGAAATGGGGGCAGGGTTTCAAGTTTAGCGGAAAAAGGTGACGACTTTGACGGTTGTTTTAATTTTTTTGCTCGCTCTAAAATTTCTTTTTGTCTTTGCAAATGCAGACGGACTTTATTCTGTTCCAATTTGTCATAAAATTTTTCCTGAGCTTTACTGCGTACATCCGATTTATTCCGTGACTTTGTTTTGACTTTGGTCTTGCCGTTATCTGCAGTACTACCGGCAGGTGTATCCGTATGGGAATTTCCAAGCGGTTTCTTTGGAGGGAGTGAAAGAAGGTGAGCTACGATTGAGTTAACATGCAACGCAGCCTCCGGGGATGAAACGTTATTAATTTTTTCCTCTTGTATCTTTTGCCGGTTGATAATACTTTCGATAAGGTCCATGTCGCCAAGATTGCTTGGCACAGCTTTGTTGATGTAACTCGGTATTTCATCTTTGCTATCCTTCGCATCTTTGCCGTCTCCGTTCTTGACAGTTCCCTCAACATTTTTCTTTTGTTTCGCTCTTTTTGGCACAAGGCCTAAAACTTGCATGTGACTGTTACAATATCTAAAGAGAAACATAAACACATCAATTGTAACACAGTGCACCGGTATATAGTGAAAGTGAAACACTATTACTGTAAGACAATTTATCAAATACAAATTTAAATACAATTTCATATCAATGACATTGTTTGCTTGGTGGTAAAATACTGTAACTTAATATTAATTTACGTTGTGTAGAGCAATTAAGTTCTTGAAATCTGAATTATTGGTGATTTTTTATGTGATGCTTGGTCTGATTTATTTTAGTTCTTAAATTATTACTTTTGTTCATCTTCTCGCAAAATACTAGAGTATGTCTTTCTCCATTCATGAATATGAGTAGGTACAGTATTGAGTAGGATGTTTGGAATGAAATTGGTCCAGTGTTAAATTGAGTTGCATGACTAAAATATACAGTACATGTCAAAACACTCTTGTGGGGCCCCATACAGTTAGAAGCAATTCAGTACAACTTCCCTCCTCTATCACAGGAAAAAATTGCTTTCCCAACTGAAGGTGTTTCAGAACACAAACATTCCAAAAATCACTTATGGTAACATAAACATTAATTTCCCTTGTGATTAGTAACAAGATGCCTAGAGTTGGCAGAGTACCAAATAAGCAGCTAAGAAATAAATTTCATTATAAATCATCAATGGAATTTTATTGACACAAATCTAGACATGACTGATTTTATTATCTATTACGACTAGAGAGACTACATGTACACAGTAACCCATTGTTAATAAAAAAATTAATCCAAATTAATAACAACATTAAATCATAATAATAAAGTGGTCATACTTCCGTTCTTGGTCTTGCGGAATAGGATTAGTGCATCGTGAGTTGTTGTACTTGGCCACAAATTCACACTGTTTAAACGGCGCAGACTTGTCCTCCAGCACATGGCGTATGCAAAACGCATAGCCTTTCAGTCGCCTTTGTTTACATAATTTGATACTGTACGAGCAGAGCGGTTTGTTGTCAACTTCCGAATAGTGAATATGCTTGCCCTCATACATCACTCTCTAAGAGTACCCACACCATTGGCTGACAGAATGGGAAAAAAAAGAAAACAACAAAATAAGCATTTTGTTAGCACAAATTACCACATTTCTAAAATTGTATACCAAGTCTAATCTACACTCTGCCAACTTTCACGCATAATGTGCGAGTCTCACACATGAGCATCCACTTCTTAGGTCTCGCGCGTACCTGTATATTATCTCACGCATCATAAAAATGTTTTGAAGATAAAATAAATGGCTCCTTATATACCCTAAAATTCATAAAAGTAAATTTGTTATTAAAATGTAAATATAGGCAATAACTTCTTTAACAAAGCTACCATATAAAACCTTGAATCTGTTAACTTTGGGCTTCTTTTCAAGGCTACTTTTGCAAAGTAAAGAGGGGGAGCTTCTTTTCAAAATTAACGCTGACTGTAAATTGTTTGAATTTATCCTATAAAACAATAAATAAGGCCACTGTAACGTGGAGTGGATTTAACTGACATTAAATCACCTACTGTATAAACCAACTAAAACTGTATAAACCAAGCTTGTTTATAATTTTTCTTTTTTTGAAATTCATGTACAGTTTATGTACTGTACTATCTTGAAAAGAAGCCTATGCCATAGTGTCTTGAAAAGAAGCCCATGGGCTTCATTTCGAGATGGGCTTCATCTCGAGATTAAGCCCATTGGGCTTCAATTTCAAAGTTTTATGGTGTACAGACTAAGGACTTTATTCCATAGTAAGTTACACTATCAACCTTTTTTTTTAAATAACAAAGGGCGCTCTATTCTGTGATTACTTTACTGTATTACGGAAGGCGCTATACAAATTATAATTTTTGTCTCGCACATCAGACTCCAACAATGTTGGTAGTATGCTATTCCAAGTTACATTATAAGTTGATTCATCATTATAAAGGGAAGGAGATAATGGGAGTAATGCAATCCTAACTTTTGTGTAATCCTTTTTAAATGCTTCAATTTTCATAAGATCTGTCACTTCCTGTTCTTTACATTCCTTTGTGGTCTTCATCTAAAGAAACAACTTTTTTTTGCATATTAAAAAATAAGGCATTAAACTTGCGCCATTGTAAAAAGTGATCTTGGGTTACAGTACGAGCAGGCCTGGTTACGAGTTGAGTAAGATTTGAACAGGAGTAACAGCAAAGCCCTTAGTCGATGAATACGTAGAAAACTAGAGATATTTTATTTTTTAAAAAAAGTTAAGTTCCTTGACCTTAGTTTTTAAATAATGAAAAGCTACTGTATTTGAGCATAAGGGCACGCTATCTACTTTACATGTGTAAAGAAACGATGATTTATCATGCAATATTCTTTAACAGGGGTCCCAAGCTGGTAGAAGTCATGTTTGGGAGATCTGTTTAAATAAGCTTTCTTATCTAACTTTATTTTGCGACAGGTGGTGATAGCTGTACCCACTGGCACTGTTTTCCGTGAGAAATTGATAACTCTGCAAAAAAAGATTGGTTACTGTCAGGGAGATTCTTTCTTGCTTGCATTTTCCAGGGGACTTTCACAACTTATCGAGGGACTTGGGACCCCCAAAAACATGTTTGTCTCCCAAGGCACTGCACCGTGGCTGCTGCGATCCCCAGGGGCCTTCAATTTACCACTGCTACATATTGCCTCTAACTACAGTACCTAATCCTTCAACGTGATGTTTAGTTGTTAGTCTAATGTGCACAATAGCCTGTCTGCACGCATTGCAAAAAATCTGTTCTCAATTAGTTTTAGGGAATTGAGTATAGGTGTACGCAGCCACCATATATGTGTAGGTCGATAATACATAATGCAAATTTTAAATTCTCAGGACCACAAATAAGATGTACTGTTATACAGTAATTACGGGAATAACATATTTATCAAATTCAGCAGCAACCCTACTGGTACAGTACATCATTTAAATACAGTATTTTGCAACATTCTTTTTGTTATAAATGTTGAATATTTTAAGAAATGTATTATTATGTTCAATTTTCTAAGAAATCCTTAACTTACAGTACAAGTATTATTTAAATATAATTTGATATTTTTTTGCCCTTTCATTAATATGCAGAAGCAATTCATTATAATTTTCCAGACATGAATTATCTGTTCATAATCGTTGATTACTGTTGATGACTGCTTTACATTATAGGTAACTGGTAAACAGGATGGAATTGGGTCAGCTGGAAATGATGCCTTTAAAGTAATTTGCTAGTTTTTTTTTATACGTTGAATTGGAGGATACAGTTAATGAAGAATTCATAATTTTACCATCCAAGAAAATTTGCCTTTGTTTTAATTTTCTCCAAAAGTATAGTACTTCAATGTTAAAATATAACCGTAAAGTAGGCTATAGTACTAGCAGAAAAATCTTTTAGATTATAATACAATGCCTGTTGTTCACCTTACTGCTGATACTGAGCAATCGATGTCTAAAAATAAAACTTCATATATTAGAATAGGCACCTACCAGCAGAGGTTTAGCCAGAAAAACGAAATAGCCGTCCAAAATGGTAGCCAGTGGGCATGGCCCTGAGCTGATGGTGGGCCACGCCCACTTCCAGACATAAGGAAAAATTAGAAAATTATGATCTTTAGAGGCATTTAAAGGTGTTTAAAAGTTGGAATTTTGTCTTCAAAGGAATAGTGTTAAATTAGCTATCAAAGATATTTCAGTTATAGACATAGATTGCACCCAGCTACGGTTACTTGCATATGGTAATGTTCCTAGGCTATGCAGATGCATCTTCATCTCTCAACTTAGTCTAGTGTAAATTCTACTCTAGGTCCTCCGAATCGAGAGATAGGCCTAGACACAGAAAAACACAGTGCAAAATTATCTTTGATTAATTTAACAAACAACTTAATTCAGCAAATTGATAAAAGGAATTCGACTATTGGAATATTTATAGACTTTACTAAGGCCTTTGACACTATTAACCACACCATTTTACTTTCAAAACTCAAACATTATGGCTTTCAGATTATTTAAGTCAAAGGTCACAATTTGTATCTATAAATGAAGTCACCTCTGAAGAAGACCCTGTGACCTGTGGAGTACTGCAAGGGTCAACACTTGGTCCAACATTGTTCTTAATTTACATTAATGATTTACCGAATCCAAATATTTTGATTTCCGATTATTTGCAGATGATTCATAATTTTCCAGAAGTAAAAACTTTAACTCTATCATTAGTTAATTATCAATTTAAGAAAGTTATTGATTGGTATGATGCAAACAAGGTAACCATAAATGTAAATAAAACTAATTTTATTATTTTTCATGGAAAGGGTAAGCATATTTCTCTGCATGGTTAAGTGTCAAAGGTTATAAGTGAAGTAGATGAAGTTTCTTTTGTTGGAGTTACCATAGATAAGCACTCAACATGGAAGGCATATATTAATGAAGTTAATCAAATTATCCGAAAGAAATCAGGAATATTATTTAAACTAAGAAGCTTTGTACCACATTATATTTTAATTTTATTATACAAAGCATTTATACAACCCAATTTAACATATGGTCTAGAAGTCTGGGGTAATACATTTTTTACAAATTTATACCCTATTTTAATTTCCCAGAAGATGTATTCCCAGAAGATATTTCCTTAACTAGGCCTTTTAGACATTTATAAACTCCATAAATTTAAAGTAAACTTATTTGTATTTGATTTATATCATCGTTATTCTCCACATAGTTTAAATGATTATTTTGAAACCTTATCTCATTGTCAAAATACAAGGTTTAAGTATGCAAATAATTTGTACGTAAAGAAAATGAACACAGTCACTGGCCAATTTGCAATGTCATTTGCTGGTGCAAAACTCTGGAACAACTTGCCTTATCATTTAAAATATATCAACTCAAAATATCAGTTCATAAAATCAGTGAGAGAATATTATTTATCAGGTACATAAGTAAAATAATTGCAATTTTGTATAACGTATGCATTCCTCCCATTTCTCTATAAAAATGTAAACATATTAGTGTATGCCTTTATTTTCATTTTATACTATGAATCACCAGTATTTATCTATGTTAGTGAAACCAGACTTGATAGCTTTATGCTATTTTTTGGTTTCCTAATTTGTCTATTATCATGTTCTGTATTCTATGTGAAAAAAAGGCAAATAAAGAAAGAAAGAAAGACCTACTGTATTTTGTTGACTTATAAAATTTAAGTTGTGACGTTAACAACTAATCTTTTTACGGTATTTCATGAACTAATTACTGTACTGTATAACCAGAGATTTACGAACACCAATAATATTATGTTCGGGAGCCGAATCTCAAGTAGGGCCTATTTTGCAGAGCCACATGCATGCGTGTGGGTGACTCAGAACCGTCCATTTTCTAGCGGGGTATAATGTTTTTAACACAACGCGTGTTGTGAAGTGAACTTTTCACTGGGCCAGGCAATGGTTAAGCCTTACATTTTTGGGAATCCCCACCGAATATTGGTATGAAAACAATGAAAATTCAATCAATCAATTCAATCATCAAACGTAAATGTCATTTTTGCTTATGTTTAATGTAACATGCGATAGGTTTGAAGATAAAGAATTTGCTAAAGGTAGATCAGGCTCAATTAGTCCAGGCCGAGCTGATTAGACCAAGCCGTTTAAGCCCTCATGGTAAAAGTGGCCGTCCTAAATATTTGTTGGGCATCCAAAAGATGGCTGAACAGGCTCACTGGCTAAACCTATACCTACCTGGGTACCCTGGGTACAGTATAAGTCCGTCATTGGAGAGGTAGACTCCACTGAATTTCGCATACAGTACAGTACCTGGGCTGGGTAAGCCTATACTGTAAACTAGAGTTTAGGGGCGTAAGGCCGATGTGCGCAGCATCTCGCATTGGCCTTACAGGTACACTAATTGTAATAAATTCAATTCAATTCAAGTAATATTTATTTCACTTTTGTCATATAATATAGCAATTTGTACAGTATGTGATGATAATTCATAATAATAAAGAGAATATAAGTACAATTAGATGATCAATTCGTGATAAAGGAACTCTGCGAATAAGCAAGCCTTTAGTTGCAGAGCCCTATATAAAATAATAAAAACTTAGAAATTGACATTTAAAGAACTACTGTCAAGTTATTTTTCACCAATATGATTAGGCATCATGATTAGGAATCAACTTCCCGAACATCAAGAAAACTAAACTGTGCCCTCTACAGGGCTACAATACAGTATGTTAAAATGGATGTGCAAACGGAGAAAGAGTCACTGATGGGGAGCAAATCCCCCACTGTAGGAGCTCTAGCACCTTTGTTAATTTCAGTTTGTATTTTTGCTATTAGCAAGGTAATTTTCTGATAAGATCAAATGTTATTCCCAAAAAAATATTGGTCTTATGCCCCTCACGATCATATGTTCCAACCCTACCATTTCGAAGTCTTCCATATTTACTTTCCCAAATTTACTTTCCCGAATTTCTTGGTCGGTCCCGAATTTCGTCAAATTCTCCAACCACAAAGTACAACAAACAGCTATATTTAGTGGCTTTTTGGTACCAATAAGTAAGCAGGTCTAATTTCTGTGTCAATTTTTCCTTTATGCGCCAACTTTATCAAAAATGTCGCTGTACAGTACAAAGACGTACAGGGCATATCCAGTCTCCCAAATTTTGAGCTCCAAGCGTTGGAATCTCTGTATGCCCTCTTTAAATCTGCCGCTGGTACTCAATTATGGTTCAAATTTGAAAAAAAGCAAGTATAAATATAGTCATTTTTTTATATTTTCAATTTTGGGGTTCTTATATGAAAATTTCAGAGACAGGAAGATTGCATGAAAATCTGGGAGACACCTGATTAAATCAAAAGAGTTGAAGTGGGCAAGAATATTTATATATACCAAAATACTGAAAGGCCTATCCCTAGTATGTATTGGTACTGTAATTCTGTATTTTTTTACTGTAGGTTAGGGGCCACTGCAAAATTGGGTTTGACGATGAAGATTACCTATATTTTAGCACCTAAATTATATAGGCCTAGAAGTATGTGTTTATACACTTCTTTTAATTCTAAAATATGTACAGGAATCCCAGGCATGGAAATTTGTATTTCTGATTCTTTTTAGTATAAATATACTTCATGGTTTAGCAAATATACTTAGGCCTAGGCCTACTTCTATTCTAGGCATTTATAGAAAACCTCCATAAAGCTTCAGTTGCTAAACAACAAGTTACTTTTTGCAGAAAAGTAGTTTGAAGAAACAATTATCGCTTCAAAACCATCACAGATCATTCTTAATTAAATAAATAACGTTGATTCCAAAATATAGTAAAAAATGTAATATTATGAAACAGGAATTCAGCATTAATAAACATACCCTTTAGGCCCTCCAACACTGCAACAGTAAAACACGACGATCAAAAATCCAACTCTCGCGGTCAAAGACCGCGTCGAGGAGGGCGGGCCTCACTGAAATATGTTGCATGGATTTCGAGTGTCCGGGACGAGAGGGCCTGATGTTTTAGTCTTATATTTCTATCAAAATATACTTAAATTATCTAAACATACAATGTTTTAGCAGCTTTAATATCTTGTCAATCAATATATCTAAACTTTATTGTATAAAAATATCATTAATCGACCAAAAAAGGGATTTTTAAAAATAAACAAGTTGCTAAATTTATAACATCAAATCGTTCATAAATACAATTCTTCGACATAAAAATATAGTTATCTAAAAAGAAATAGTTGTTAATGTACGAGATATACACCTACCGTAGTACAAGAATTTGAATTATCAAATTTTAACGCATAATATGAAGGGGAAATGATCCCATGAAATCCATATCAAAGATGGCTGCCGTTTTGCGTGATTAAGGTTACTGCTTGTTTCCCTACGCCGCTCCAGCGGTGTGTGACAACCGCATGGCCTTTATCGTCGGCGCTCAAGCCGCCCTTCTACAGTGTATTTAGGTGTTTGCAACAACAAAATGACCGATCGGCCCCTCTGTTTTCCATTATTTTGTCTAAATATTATGATGTTATTGCTATTCTTTACTAATTTTCTCTTCATCATACAATTAACTATGTTCAGAACAGTCGAAAGAAAGTAGTTCGACGGCATAAGCGAGCAAACTCGACATTGCCCAAAGCAGCTGGTTTTATCAACGCGGGAAGGCGTGCCATTTTGAAACCACAAGAGCGATAATGTATCCCTTAGTTTGCACCAATTTATCATTGTTTCTGTGTATAATATCCATTTCATAGTATAACTTACTCGGTTATAGATATTTATTCCTTAGTATGCTATAATGAAAATTGGATTAAAGTACACACACTTCTTTAAATAATACATTTCAAGACTTCTGAATCGCTAAGCCAAACTTCAATCGGGTCGAACTTTGGTCGAGAACGAGGACGAAGCCAGACATGGTTTTGCCCAGTGTTTCACAGCATATACCTACATCAATATTATACCATTTTTACAAATATAACATTATTATTATATAATATCACGCATCATTAAGTTGTTTTTTGCACATTTTTTATAATCAAGTGGTTTTTAATGCGCTGAATTACAATGTTTTGGTTCGTAGTATACACTTGACAGCCAGATTCGTGTGCGTATATACTCAGCCAATAGAAACGTTACTTAGAGGTTACTAATTGTTGCATAGCCAATTGCAACACTTGTCTTATTCTGGTGGTTGAATCTAATTGGACATTAATTTTAAGTCCCTCTACTACCAACGCCATGTGATCACAAAAAAAAACTTAGTTGCTTGACACCCAGCTACATGGAGTAGTACGTAAGGACATGCATAGATAATCCTGTGATTCCTTTTTTGCTATTTTTTCTTAGAAATGTTTAATATGGCTTTTTGCATTCACTGTCAATATGAATAATACAATTTTTCATACATATTTAAGAATAATTATGTACAATACATCTTTCTATATGGAGGTGACTGCAAGTCCACTTTCTCTACAACTTGACAGCAAAATAATCACCATTGCACCAAATTATATAATAACCAGTTGTAGTTTTTTAAAACAATACAGAGGTTAATAATGACCAATCTGCAAATAAATGTATAATCATTTGGCTTATTTATTGAGGCACGCCTCTAAAGTTTAGTTTTGGCCTTCCTGTTTTCTTGTTTAGGCTGTTTATTCTAATCCCACCTAGCCTAGCCTATTGTTTATAATCATGCTTGCATGAAATTCTCACTTTATACTATCTGGCTTTTTCAACCCTCACTCACTCGCCACTGAGGAAGGACTAGTGTTGTCCGAGAGCTCTGGTTCTATTTCTGGCTGTTTACTTACGTTTTACTTTTTAGCTGTTGCTTATCATTTTTGTATCTCTACTGAGATCCAGCCATTGTTTCCCACAGCATTGTTGTTTTCCAGTATTTTGCCCTGTCTCTTATACACATCTAGAAAAATGACTACTGTTGAACAATTTATGCTTACCTTTTTTGTGTAAACTAACTACCGATGGAAGTTTATCAACATACCTATCCTGGGATTGGAGGCAAGCATCCCACAACTCCACTTATTAATTACAAACATTACAATTTTAAAGAAAACATTAATTACAAGCATTACTATGTAGATGAATTTAACTAAAAATATAAAATGTATAATATTGTAAAAGTTTATAGAATTAAGTTCAATAATTATTTATAATAATAATAATAATAATAATAATAATAATAATAATAATAATAATAATAATAATAATAATAATAATAATAATAATAATAATAATAAGTTTAATAATTATATATAATTTACTGGTATATATAAATATGTATATTTTTTCTTAGGTATCTTCACTTCATTTGTTTAGTATTTATTATGGTAAAATTATAAGACAAACAGATTATAATATAATTAAAGATACAGTAGTGAAAATGTATTTAAACACGTTGAAATTTAATTTAGATTTAAAAAAATACATTTTTTCCAGCAAGAAAGAGGACAATTTCTTCATTCACACTTAACATGATTTAGCCAATCAGCAACCGGAACCGTGCGCATTCTTATGCTGATAGCGGGAGTGCATCGAGCAACCTCTTCTCTAAATAAAATACAAAACTAGGAAAACCCTGGACGAGGTGTTTGCTGGTTTGTCAACCCGAAGCTAGAAACAAAACATGGGACAAAAAGCTCGTGACGTGCAAATATTCTAGGCACTATTTATGTCATTTTTGATACTGTAATTCTCACATGGTTTGCATTCATTTATTCTGTACCGAGGGTAAGTCTTATTATACTGCAAAGTTATGCAAAGCCAAAGCCTAACTAGGCCTAGCCTGCTGGCCGTCTACAATACTTACGCCACGGCAGAGGATGCCTAGGCCTAACCTTGTCAATCCTCCAGGGTCCAGGATGCGGAGACCTCGCTGTAAACAATTATCCGCCTAGGCCTAGGTCTACTACACCATAGGCAAATAAAGGCCTAGCTGCAGTATGTATAGGTTAAGAACATGACTTCTTTTTTTATTATTCTTACTGTTGCATGTATCAGGGAGCTGTACTGCTGTATTTAATAGTAAGTAGTAAGCTAGGCCTATTTTATTATTATATTTCTTGGTGATACGCAGACCAAATTGAAAATATAGGCAAGCACATACCAAGGACAGATATCATTCATCAGTTTTTTTTGTTTTAAATATAGTTTATGAATATGATACAATACTAAGGCGACATTTTTTTTATACCTTGTTTTGCGAACTTATTTTATTAAAAGATCGTCAAAGGAGGGCGGAAAAATAAAATTAAAATTCTGTTTTCCTTAGCAAACAAGTTTGACAAAAAACATTCAGAGGGAGGAGAAAATAAAACTAAAATGTTATTGTTAAATGTAAACAGTGTAGTAATGGGATGGTTAAATGCTTTAAATTTATATAATTACGAAGAAATATATATATATCTTATTTTTGGAGATTCTGAGGCAGCAACATGCGTAATAAAAATAAAGAAAATTTTTAATTTTTTTCTGAAATTTCCATTTTTTTGTGGCGGTGGGTGCCATACTGTGAAGTTTTTTAATTGTGCAGAGGATATCTCAAAAATCAGCTCAGCTAAGTTGTATTAAGAAAAATAATTCTTGTTTTATTGATACGAACATACCTGTAGCAGGTCTACCAGTAAGATTTTGTAAGGTATGAGAGTGTAATTTCCGGGCACCTAGAGGTCCACTATTCTCAAAATTTCCTTCCCTCAACCCAACTATGGTTAAAACCCCCTACCGTTAAATCCTGCAACCTGCCCAAGACACGAGCTATCGTGACCAAGTGCTCCCTCATCACTTAATTATCAAGCTTCACTTTGTGGAACCTACTCATATGGAAAGTATTTAAGATTGAGACCCCCCCCCCCTCTGGTGAATCTCACATAAATTTTCAGCCCATGAATTTCACGTCGGCAATCAGCAATTGCCCACCATATTGCCGAGCCAGAATTACCACAGGACGGCAATTTGTTGCCGACCTAGGCCTATATTTCTTTACTTTAAAAACTGCTTGGAAAGTCAAAACTTTGAATGAAACAGGCAAAAGCAGAAACTAAATTTCATATACATCATGTGTTTGGCATGTAGCCAAACACATAATAATCTGTCACTTTGGACAAAAAAAAGGATATTAAAACATAGCAAAATTTTCTCATTATAACTAATGAAATATTTGGATATTTTTTTTTTATAAAGAAAAGTATACTTTATGAGATATTTTGTTTGCATTAAATGTTATTATGTAGCTGTACCACTTAGAAAAAAATGAGATCAGCAGGCCATGTTTAAATAAATAATAATTATCATAAACCTTTAATGGCTGTTTATAAATAGGAATATGCTAATCAGAAGTTTGAAATCCAGGATTCATCAATACACTCTCAGCTGATGAACAATATAGGGAATGTCTGCTGAAAATTGAGATAATAAGATTCTCTATCCTTTGGTTGGTAATCAGAATACCAAGATTAAGGTTATAAACTGCGCCACAAGAAACGGTTCTTAGTTCGTAGGAAACGGAATTGATTCCAGACCATAGAACAATTCTTCGTCTTTTTTTGTGTGTTTTTTTGTTGTTTTTTTTTAATTTCCTGTTTCCACCTCCACAGAGAGTTGTTGAGTGACTTGTCCAGGTAGAAATTTGTCCAGTATAAAAACGTGCTAATTCTGTACATACAGTTTTTGGGGTGGGTTACGCTAATGGGGAAGGGGAACTCTAAAACTGATTAAATAAACCTCCATATTTTGTAATTTAATTTTCTTTTATCTCAATATTTTTCTATTTTATAATTGCAGAATAGAAATGCCTATAGAAGGGAATATGAAAAAAGCCAATAAACAGCGGCTGTCAATCCGTCGTTCGCACAGCTCTCGAGATGGTGGCCTCAGACACCGGGTCTATGAAAGTGACAGCATCCTACCACATGACATTCGTTGCAGGCTTCAGAAGCTATTTCAGCAAATTGAGCAGGAGTTTGAGAGTGTTTATGCAGAAAATTTAACATGTAAGTAAACAATAACTGCCTGGATACTGAATAAAGTACTAACAATAAGGCTTGTTAGGTTGCCCAGAATCTAAGTCATGAGTTAGAGGGAGCATGATATATTTTTTCTTAATGGAGAATAACCAAGCATAATACATAAAAAGACCGTAGGCTGGCCAAAAAATTAGAACCTGCCTTCCAATATTATTTTGCTACATTCCGTTGATGGGTACTCTATATATCTCAGTATATTTTATTTAAATATTCAATATGAAATTTACAAAATAAAAAAATTGTAGCTGGTGGTACTTACATAATCTTGATACATTGTAAACTTCTTTATGTGGTTACTATTTTTTAAAATATTTTGAAGCGAATCAAAGGGAATTGAATATGAATTGTTTAATTACTGTGAAGTGAATCATAACTAAGAAATAAATTTGCAATTATGCTCTTTTAAATACGAAATTATAATTTTTATTGTACCGTATTAAATCCCTGTAATCTTGATATTTAAAATGCAAATTTTGTAACTTCAAGTATTATATCCAGTTATTCTTTTCTTTAAAAACAAAATGTACATTTTTTTTCTTCTCGTAATATCAAACGCTCTAGGCAGCTTTGTTTGCATTATAGTTTTATAATACGGTTAGGAGGCATTTTTCTCTCAAATTAATAGTTGATATGCTATTTTGCATGACAAACATTGCTAGCAATGAGCATTGTGTAACAGTCATCCATTTAAAAGACTCAATAACACCATGTACTTTTTGCATAATGAATTATATACTGCAAAGACAAGTTATTTTTTTGCAAAATGAAGTACACAATGTACACCTCTGCGATAGCAAGACTGTAATCAGAGTTTTTTTAGAGGACGTAAGTGCCCTTGTGGGAACCAGGGGTGTCGCAGTGGGAAAGCTTTCTTGAGCTGAAGTATTCTAGCAAACGAATGCTGAATTTCATATTTATGAAAGCTTTATGCAAGGGTGCTTTGATTTATCGGAGGGGTTGTTCACTCGAAAAGCTGGTTTGGCCAAGCCATAGGAACTCCTCTTTCCCACACCCAACTTCTTATTTTTTGGGATTACTTTGATATAACTAAAATACTGGATATTTCTTTAAAAATATAAGAAAGGAAAAAAGGAGCGTTGCCCACACATGGATAAGGAAGGGAGGTGAGAAACATGTTTATATTTTTGTTTGCTATAATGAGCATTTCCTTTTAGAATGCCGGGTTTCGATATACTTAAAAGCTTTTACATCCACTATCCATTATCATAAAAAATGAATCATTACATATTATTCCAATATAACTGAACAAAAATAATGACAAGGTATTCTGGACATCTCATCTCTTCGGCCTCTTTAAAAATATTGCTAGTACTGTAGTATAGAAATTGACATGTTGACAAGGACGCGAAGCCTCGTCCACAAAGTCACGAAAACCTTAGACAATGGCGGCTAGACTTACCAAGTTGGCGAACATTTTCTTTGCTATCAACCTTCTTTAAGAGAGAGAATTCAGGGTAGGCAGTATGCAAATGAATCATATTAATCTATTTCATGGAACAGGCAGAGAAATTGTTATAAAAGCCTCTGTATTTCGCTCCCAAAGGAAGAGGGAAAAGTCGCATTCAGTCAACCTCATTGTCGGCAAAGGCCAAGTCACTGATGCACACTGCTTGTGTAAATCTGGGTATCTATAACCAAGCATAGACATCTAGGCCTAGGCTTACGTATGTTTCGCGTTGACAACCAGCTATCTAAGGAAATTAAAATGTCAAAGAAAAAGTTTTTGATCACATGACTAAATGACGCTCGCTGATTAGTCGGTTTATCTGTCAATCAAATCTCGTCGAGATGTTAATTAATGTGAAGTAGTAAATTCTGTTCCCTAAGGTGTTGGATGATTGGCACTACCTCCTGTTGTGAAGTGGAGAGTGGTACGATAGTCCCAATTCATCCAACAATTAGGGAAGTAGAATTCATGTTTTATTTTGTTTTACTATACTTCATAAATATTAAACAGCAAACTGTCCGTATACTTTATCCATTTCGATCTGTGAGGGTAAAATTATGCAGTTTGCATACAGCTTATAAGTAGGCAGGGGTGCAGTAGTCAATTAAATAAAGGTGGTCTTTAATGAGGGAGAGACCCATATTTAAAAATACTCAGTGTAAAATTTGGCAATATTTTTTTCACAAAAATATGTTCATTCTGGCAATTAATTAATAAATGGACAATGTCACAAATTTACATCATACAATTTTAGGACAAAACTGAAAAGTAAAAAGTAAATTAAACCAGTGTCGACTACAAGATGTGGTTACCCATAATTAATAAACCTGCTATAAAAATGTTATTTTCATTCATGGTTAATTTTTTTTTTTAGTGCAAGAGAAAGTTGAAACATTAACAGAGAAACTAGAAGCTGCTCAAATTGGACGTGCAGAAGGCGTCACAACGGATGTTGACGGTACTTCAAAGGTCAAGTCCAAAAGTAAGGCTCCATTCTTCATTAACAGGATCAGTTTAAAGACTCTTATTATTTTACAAGACTAACATTTCAAGTTCAAGTTTTTTTAAATTTAAAATCCGTAGCCAGCTATTGAGACAGTTGGGACAGTCCCATACAATTTTTCTAATGGGTCCACATTTTTAAAAATGGGTCCAAATTATGTAATTTTATGCATACAATTGGTCCACTTTTTGAAAAATGGGTCTAGATTTCTCATATTTAACTTAAAATGGGTAAAATTTAAGAAAATGCGTCCAATTTTTCATATTTTCAGGTAAAATGGGTCCACATCGTTTATATGATATTGTCCCACTCTGTTTGAAAATCATGGCTACGAATTGCAAATTTTCATGATGCGATAGGAGCCATGTTCACACACGTAATTGTTCAATTCCTTAAATGTTCTTAGTAGACATGGTCCAGGGGTTACGTTTATATATTATTTATCAAAAAATTTACTTTTTTATTATTATTTGTTTTAAATTTCATTTTTAACAGTGGCCAGATTTAATGGCTGGGGCCCAATTTTGGCCCACAGGCCGCCTATTAAGGATCAAGGGCCTAAGGTGTCTTGTGTTTGCTCTCAAATTTATCTGACATTTAGATACAGAGGTTTTTTTAATTATCAGTTGTCATTTTTATTAAATTTAAATTACCTCTACATTAAATTATAGTTTCTAAGGCAAGCCTAAGATGTATATTTAGGGTGTAGAAAAAAGATGCCAGTAGGAACAAACTATTACATAATAGGGGTAGTGTTTAAGGCATAAAGAAGTGTTATCACACACCCAGTTAATCCTATTAATATGGTGTTTATGGTGTTTCATGGTGTTTCATTAAGAAAGTATCAGTTATTTCTTTGTTTAACTAGGTCTAATTAACTAATTTCTTAGGTTGTATTTATTTTAATCAAGTTACTATATAGAGCAACAGTATCACATCAGTTATGCTAAATCAGTTTTTCCTACTGGCATTTTTTTCTAATTTCTATATATTACTGGTATCATTACTAGTTTTAAGTAACGAGCCTCGACTCAGGTTTACTTTACGTTATTTTTAGGTTTACTCATTCTTTCACTGGCAATTGATTACATCTTCATCAAGTGCGTGGCAAAACTGATGGAGCTGGCATTGGCTGCCAGTGAAAGCTTGTGCAAAATAAACAACATCATAAAATTAATCTCAGACAGAGTGCTGAGCTCTTTATTTGCTTGATCCTATTGTTTATACTAAAATGGCTATACAGCTACGATATCATTAGCATATTCAAAATAATCAGTTGTTTTTGGAACCAAAAATATCTTTCATTCCAGCATGAGTCAATATCAATTAATCTAGACTGGTCTTCTGCAGGTTGACAACTCATGTAGCATATTCAAAATTACATCAGGATTAATATAGAATTGATAATGTTAATAATAGTGTTTTAATAAATTTATAATCAGAACTCAGCGTAGAATGAGGAGTCAATAAGAATCATCGGGGTTTAATTACAAAAACCTAAGTAGTCAATTGATCGGGTGTCATTTAATTTCCATAGCTTGAGGTGTTCATTTTCTTTAAAATTGTGTATTAATACTCATTACTAATATCAAGAGTTTTTTATATTGTTTTTGAAAATGTCATCCATTTTTTATATCATCATTTTCATCAGATTAAGCCTACAATTAAGAAAATAACTAAAAAAAGAAAGGTAACAGTTTGTTTATTTATGAAGGGAAAAAAAGTCATTTTTTGTTGTGTATTCTTCAGGGTGAGGGAGAGGTTCATAGAAAAAAGTATGTACTCTATTTAAAAATATGAAAGATATAATTGATCCTTGATATTCTAATTTCATTAAATGCAACAGTGTACAGTTAACTGTTTTATTTACGTACAAGAGGTTGCATACTAATTCTTTTTTTACTTCACAGCGTCAAATCAAATTTCTCAATTAATTCGTCCGAAGACAAAGGTTGCATCAGGAAAGGTAAGGAAAAGTAGGTGTTTATAATAATTTGTGTCGTAGCTCGGTGGTGAAGATACTTGCCTTCCAAATGACCCTAGGACTCCTGGGTTATCTGCAGTGCACCATGCTCCAGGGCCTGAAATTTGCATTTTATACTAATAGTCTGAATTTAGCTGTTACAGTTGAACTTCCAAAGTCGAATCCAAAATGGCATTGAAAAATTGTTTGACTTAAATAAAATTCAACTTACAGATTGTGTTAATGGAAAACACAACAACTTGGCATGTAAAATAAGATTGACTTAAAAATTATTTGAGTTAGGCAAGTTTAAATGTGTGTGTTTAATGATAATGGATAATTTATTAATTTCATTTTTTGTTTTCAATATGTACAATCATTATATAATGTTAGTCACACTTTTTACACGTTGTATTTTGTTTATATGTGAATAATCACATTTTGTGATTTATAATACAGGGCATGGATGATGATGTTATCATCCACATATAGATATGATGATGTCATATCACATCCACATACAGTATATGATGATGTCATATCACATCCACATATAGACATGATGATGTCATATCACATCCACATATAGACATGATGTCATATCACATCCACATATGGACATGGTGATATCATTATATCCATATAGGCAAATCACAAGTATTTGTCACATAAAACTTATTTTTATGTATCATTTATTATGGTGTACTGTATAACTGTAAATACAATGAAAAGCTAATATACAATCAGTGAAGGTGGATACATTGTTATGATAGCCCTGCTGTATTCCTAACCTTAAATTTCACTCCTGAAAGGTCAATACTTAGTATACTGTACTGTATTGGCCATATTGAATACGTCTTCTTCTTCTCAAGTTACTACGTAGCTAGTGTGTATGATCTTGCTTACGTAGTGTGTTAGAAGGATTCGCTGGTAGGATACCAGACATGGGCCGCGACATAAACGCTTTTTCTGTGGCTGACTTGCGTGCACTTTAAAGAACCAGCTTTTCCAGCTACAAAACAAGCTAGCTCTCTTCTCATGACTCTCCCAATATGGGAACCCATCTGTGCAATAGCCAGGGTAAACTCTGGATCCGGGCTTGACATGTATTTAATGCTTAAAAAAGGTATATTTACAGTATATTTATTTATAGAAAATAATGTTGCATACTAGAACTATCAGGAATAAATATACAGATGAAGGCTCCCGAGGTGGCATAGACGCAAAAACTGCTTAGAACTCAAGTATCACGCATCATCTGGCACTTTAGCAGCGTGTGCAAGTGACGCATTCGCTGTAAAAATTAAGCGGCTTTATTAAAAACTATTTTCCCCATGATTAAACGTCTCTTTGTGTTATTTTATTTTTTTTCAATTTCTAGATGGCTTCGCGGCCCTCCAAAAATGTTTCACAGCCCTAATTTGGGCCGCGGACCATAGTTTGTGGAACTTGATCTAGTAGTCTAGTTGCCACCTAGGATATAACAAATATTATGATCAGCATTTTTAAAATATTATATAATATTCCATTCCATTTCTCTCTAGAATGTGTTTAGCTTCAAAGGTCCAAGCAGTACATCTTTAGGTCAGTTCGTCAAGTCATACAAAGGTCATCAAGATGGAGTATGGGAGGTCAGTGTGTCAAAGGGCGAGAATCCTGTTCTTGGAACAGCCTCTGCTGGTAGGTGATTGTGCCAATGATAATAATCAGGCTCAAAAAATGCAAATTATATTATTACCTCACATGCATAATATCAGAATCACTGTTTTATTTATTTATTTTTTTTTTTACAATTATAATGTTTTTTTTTTTCCTTCAAAGTTTTGATTCATCATGTTTGCACTTTGTCAGGTTTTTTTTGTGCTGACCAAAAAAATAAAACTGATATTTTCTGGGCTAAAAAAAACTGTATTGCACTATTTGTTTTTACCCAAGTGTTTCAATGAATTTCTATTGTCCAAAGTTATTTCCCTGTTGCAAGTTTCAATGATAAAAATATGCTAACAATGCAATTGAAGCGGTCCTCTAGTTAAAAATGTGTTGTTGCTTTTAGAAAGTTCTGAGAATTGATCTTTGACACTGTGACCTATTTATGTCATGCCTGTCAGTCTACCTAGATCCATACTTCAAGCCACATTTTATTTGACAAAAACATTTGACATACCTAAATATGGTCATGAAGACATCACATCATGACCACATATAGGCACATCATGACCATATATGGGCATGCAGCAGTTCTTTGTCAAAAAAAAAATTGATTCTGAACTGAGCTTTAGAACAAGTGTGATATGGAAGGAGACATGAATTTCTTTGTATGTTAATATTTCAGCAACCTAATTAAATTATCTTAAAGCTTTATCATTACTAAATACTGAAATAATTTATTGTCCAACAGACAATAAGGAAATGCATTGAAAACTGGCAAACATTTAAAATGACAGCACTGAATATTAAAATATATAATTATTATTATAACCAATGAATATATTAATGTGTACAAGAGAATCCAATATACATAAAAAGAACAGTTAAAAGGTGATAAATTAATATTATTATCATTTGACTCAACAACAAACATTTAAAATCATGACAGCACTGAATATTAAAAAATATAATTATTATAAAAGATGAAAAATATATTAGTACCTGATGGATTTTAATTATATTCATATGTTTGTTTTGAGTAAGCCTACGCACACATTGGTTTACATTGATCAAGTTCCTAGTCCACATATCAAGCGCCCTAAGCATCTTACATTAGATGGATATGTGCGCTATATAAAACTACATTATTATTATTATTATTATTATTATTATTACTGTTTGTGCGCAGCAGTAGGTTGGCCAACTTCCTGGTTGGAATAATGAGATCACAGAATCTTAAATCTCAAATGTGCTGCACTTTCGGCTTGTGTCAAAATTTGTTAAATGGCACGACTGCATTATGTTTTATTTTTTTCATCATAAAATGAATACATTAAAATTACAAGTATCTTTTTTCTTTCACAGAATCATCTGTGTAGATTTGAATTACACCCCTTAATATTAGCTCTCATTTTCCTCATTAATTATAATCAAGATGAATTTATAGTTTATTTTTCAACCCTATTTTCTTTTTTAGACCGTTCAGCTCGCCTGTGGAGTATTGAGACAGGAACGTGTGTGTTGCAATATGTAGGTCATAGTGGATCCGTCAATTCTGTGCGATTCCATGCGAAAGAACCACTGGTCTTAACAGGTAAAACATTCAACAAATTGTTAATTGTTGTGTTTCATATTGTGTTTATCTTGATGACTATAAAACACTGAATACATCCAATCCAATCCAACCACTGGTAATAACACCCATTTTATTCTCTACCATTATTTTAATGTTTTAGAATGAGGCTATACAGATGCCAACATCATTGAATCTTGAGTAATGACTCTGGGAATTGCTACATGTTACTGGTCCCAAATTGCAGAAAAGCAATGCAGTAGTGTTGGTTCCTCTGTAGTGGACCTTTCAGCTAAGCCCTGCCCCCTTGATAGTTACGTTTGCTAAGGTCCCACAAAACCATAGTGTAAAAACATACGCAAACGTGTGTTTGTGAGACAACACGTGTGTTTGTTGAACATACGCATATTCCTGGCACTATTCTGATTGGTCAGTTGTTAAACTTTGATTAACTCTGGAAAATTCTATTGTCTGTTTTTGGGGAAGGTTTTTTTGGTTTCAGTGAGTCTTAAGGCAGTAGCATAACACCCATGAGCTCACTGGCTAAAGCCTTGGGTCCCGTGGACCTTAAGGCTATATGAGAAATTGTAGAAAACCATGCCATTAAAATGTCAAAAAGAACAGCAGATGCCAGAGTTTGTTTCGCCCAGTACCTAACTGGTGTCCTATGCAGCCACAAGGTTCCAGGTAGTAGGATTTGAAGAAACCAGGGACCCAGGCCTCTTTGTTATGCCACTGGTTTAAAATTAATTGCCAATGTATTCTTCCTTTTTTTTTTTTTTCTTTTATTTTTTTGCAAGGCACATAGAGGTCGGGTATGTGAGGTCCCTAACCATTGCTATATCATTTTTGGTAATATTAAAATTATCATGAGTATTATTATTATAGTATTATTATTATTATTAATTGTTTTTCTAGTTATTACCTGATACTTATTAATTGGGTACATGTTATAATGTTTATATTTGTTTTGCCCAGCCTCTGGTGATAACACAGCTCATGTATGGAAGTCCACAGTCAGTCTGCCTGTTGCGTCGCAGATATCAGAGGGTAATGTAAGTACAACATTTATAAATTTGTAAATTTTAACCTACCAGTTTTCCACACATAATGTTCTCGTAAGTGAAAAGAAGTGGCATGGATGACTTGCCTTGACCAAGTCTTAATTACTCCGCAAATTATTTATTTTTCTGATTTTTTTTTCTGCAGAGGTCAAATCCATCAAGTGGAGATGACCTGGATGGGTCAGATAAAGAAGATCAAGATGGTAAGTTTTAAAAAGTGGCAAAATTTTCGTACAATCTTGCCGATAAATTGTATTTTGTTTTTATTGAGCTTCTTATGTCAAGAGAATTGCATTACATGGACCTTAAGTTATGAGCCCAACCTAGACATTGAATCTGACAACTTTTGATAACTTACAGTTAAGACAATGAAAATGCATTTAAACAATAACGCAAATAAATTGTAGGTCATTGCAAAAAGAAAATAAATTTTTTTAAAGTATAGATTTATAGAAAATTTGATTGCATTGTATATATACTGTCTCTTATACACATGGCGTTTGGGAGCTGAATCTGTGTAGAGTTGGATGTTTTTGACATAAATTTACTCAAATAAAATATACATTGAGGCTGGAATTACTTTCCCTCAATTCCTGTGTTAGGATTTATGGAGTACTATAACATATGTATATACATGTGTAGTACAGTATACATTATCGATTCAATTAGGCCCAATCTGCATCATCTCATTATGTGCACTTCGTGAATTGCAGTCATTATGTTTACTGAACATAGTGTTCTGCTGTGGATTAGCGCTTTACAATGCTTTTTCAATAATTGATGATATTAAATCAAATAAACCCTCCGTCCTTCTGTAAACTCGCATGTTTATATCAATGTCCATCGTGAAGTGAGATATTTTTACTTAGTTAAAATGAGATATCCATTGAGGCCAGTTAGGATTTAGAAAGTTATGCCATATATAAATAAATGTTGCAAATATCACCAGCAGAGTGCTCAATGGGAATGAAACCAGAGCGAATTAAAAACAAAAACCTCTCATTTCGTCATCTCACTTTTAAGAATTCTGTCATTGCATCATTGAACATAGTGTTCTTCCACAGATATTAAAAATGTCCTTTAAAAGATTGACAATATCAAAAAAAAAAAAAATCATGTCAACTCTCCATTTTTCTCTAAATTCTCATGTTTATATTAAAGTCCATTGTTTAATTCTAATGAATAAAAAAATAACAAATACCATGGATTATTTTGCATTTATTTTTTATTTTTATTTATTTATTTATTTTATTTATTTGTTCTTTATACTGGGTTTCCTCTTCACTAACAAATTACTGTTCTCCCAGAGGGCCTAGTTCACATAAAACAGTCCATGACAGGGGCCGGGTGAACCAGTACACCGGGGTAACCCCCCTCTCATCTCGAAGGATGTACTGGGTTCTTTAAAGTGCACATGAGCATTTGTGTACACTGGGCCTATGGTTTATAGTCCTTATCCGAGAAGACTTGTTCCACCACCAGAACCATAGGAGGGAGCCGATATTGTTGGCTATGATCACGGTGCCCCTGCCTTAACCACTCGGCCATTTGGCTCGCTCAATTTAACCTTAATATGCTTACTAGGGCATCACAGCCATTATGCCATAACTCAACACTGACCTCTTTTCTTACAGGTGATAGCGAGAACATAATTTATGTGAAGACAGCGCAGTGTGTCCTGGAAGGGCACACTGGAGTTGTCATTGCAGCTGATTGGCTAGCTGGAGGCAAGCAGATCGTAACTGCATCATGGGATAGGACAGCTAGTATATTTGATGTGGAAAAAGCATCCATCATACATTCACTAACAGGTAATGTGGATCATCATTGAGAATATGAAAATAATAATGATAATAATTATTCAGAGAAATTTAATTTTATCTTCGATATTTTAAAGATGACAATTTCTTTTTTTGTAAAAGCTATATATAGCGAACATTTGCTGCAAAGACAAGCTAAACCAGTCACTCGTCACAAATCGTGTTTCAGTGATAATGGCCAAAACATGCTGGAATTTCAACACTTCTGAAATGTATTTTATTGCACTAAACTAACCTTTATATATCTATACATCATGCTATGTTGTTATTTTTCCCAGTTTCAATGTTAAAACAAAAATATTTTAACGATCTGGTGAAAATTTCTGCCTGAGAAATGCCCGAAATCGTAGACTTTAACGTCTGATTTCTGAAATATTTTTCCATAAACAGTTGTATGTTTGAACTCCTGTAACTTCATAATGAAATGTCGGATTTAAATTATTCTTTTACCATTTTGTAGCTTTCATTTTACTCTTTAACCCTGTATTAATAACTAAAAATTAGTTTTTGCTAAGAGTGACTGGTTTGGCTTGTCTTTGCCACATTTTGATCTATAGAGATCTTTATCTGACTGGTGGTATTGTGCTTGGTCATGATGTCATCGTTTTTATTTTTTATAATAGTTTTTTCTGTGCAATTGTTATTATGCAATGAATTGTTTCCACTCTATATTTTATTTGTGGACAGACAATAAAACTTGAATTGAAATGATCCTGATGTTGACTTTTACTTTCCTCCAGTGTTTGGTTGGAGGCTGGGCCCGCCCATGTGGGGATAACATCCCCACATGGCCGGGCCCTGCACAACCTCTGAACTGCTTGTCACGGTGCTTGTCCCACTGATGTTGGCACATTTCCTTCCACTTGTACTCAACATGTTAGAAGTTTATTGAATAAATAAAATAAATATGATTTTTTTTTTTAGGTCATGACCAGGATTTAACTCATTGTTCAACACATCCATGTCAGAAGCTGGTTGTCACATCTTCTACTGATACAACATTCCGATTGTGGGACTTCAGAGATCCCAGTATTCACTCAGTCAATGTTTTCCAAGGGCACACAGAGTGAGTAGATAACACATCCTCTGGAAAAAAAATTATTTTTGATATGTTGACATGAAAAAGGTGATTGACAATACACACGAGTTACAGATTTTTGAATACTCCATCTAAGAACTTGGAAGGTGGGGAGGGGGGTAACCACCCTTTTTTTTTCCCACCTTTCCTCCTCCCCCCCCCCCAGTATTTAAATATTATCTGTAGTGTTAAAATTACTGTCCTTTATCCTAATAACCTCTTTTTTCACCTTTTCCCCCAGTTTTTAAATATTACCTGTAGTGTAAAAATTACTGTCCCTCATCCTAATTATCAGAGTGAGTCCCTCACTCTAATCAATTAGAGTGGGCTCATAAATCTCGTCTTTGGTAGAAGGGTCACGTAATATACTGTTACTGTTGGAATAAATTTGTTTAATGGCTCAAGCTTACAAAACCCTCAATTTGAAAGCCAAAAGAATGTACCACACAAGTTTGTTTGAGATACTCTCGTTTTATTGGAGCAATAGTTTGTTTATATATCTGTCGAATGTTTCTCCACAGTGCTGTGACATCGGCATCATTCGTTCCAAATGATAAGGTAGTCAGCGGGTCGGATGATAGGAGTGTGAAAGTGTGGGACCTGAAGAACATGAGGACACCAATCGCTATGATTAGAACAGACTCAGCTGTCAATAAGTAAGTGTCAAAACAACTTCAGTTAAGCCCTATACAGGCTCATCACATTGTATATGATAAAAACAATGTAACATGCCTATATATGGTAATGATGACATCGATCATGACCTTATATTGTTAAAACCTCAAATTAAAGCCCTGTGCTTTTTTTTTTTTTTTTTTTTTTTTTTTTTTTTTTTTTTTTTTTTTGCAAACTTTACATAGACTTCTTTTTGCTAGTTATTTTATACCGAAATTCGGCGGGCCGGAATCCTGAAGAAACAAGCCCATAACAAGTCCATTGTCTACCCGGTGAAAATTTCTTGTACAGAATGCGTATAAGATAGTATAAATATTGAAATGCATGCCATCATATTGGGATTAAATATTCCGATATGAAGTATGTTGTCATCAGAAATGATGAATAATTTCTCATTTTACATGCGTATAATTGTATTCGGTTGGAATATGGACAGTTGGTAATTACACATACCAGCATTGAATGATAAGAAAATTGAAAAATCTCTCTAAGCAGTTGTACACATCATGCTGGCTTTCAGATGAAACATTATCAAATCCCATATGCAATATGGCACATGTGCAGTATAAAGAACACATTACTCTGTTCGAATTCTGAAATTGTAATAACATTTTTTACTATTATTCACAAGTACATTAGAATACACCACATTTTGATTATAAATTTAAAATGACTAATTGGAAGAAGGATGAAAAAATATTGATAGTAAATATGCACAAGGCCCAATAAGAAAAATGATTAGTTTATCATTCAAATGTATCACCCTTGAGTGGTTTGCTGGTCCATTAATATTCAAAGTAAAATCCATGATTGAGGTAATACAAGCAATATACTAAATATTTACTAAAAAAAAAATTTTTTTTTAATAAATAAATTGGTTTACTTTCCAAAATATTCTGTTCCAATACCATAGAAGACATGCGGGGATGATCAACTAATAATTTTTTTGGGGGGGCCTAATGATCATCTTTTTAAATAGGAATTGTAAACATTAACTTAATATTGCGTAATTGCTTTTATTACCAGGTTGTCTATTTCACCAACAAGTCATGTGATAGCCATTCCGCACGACAACCGACACATTAGATTGTACGACATAAATGGTGTCAGGATTGGACGATTGCCTAGGAGCAACAGAAAGGTAAAATACAATTGATGATCCCTGAATCAAGTTGTTTGATCGCTTCTTCTTGTGGTTCCTATTTTTATCAAAAGTGTTTAAATTTTTAATTGAATGCTAATAGTACACTGATTATGTTTAAATAACAGAACGAACGTTACTCCGAATAATGAGAGGGAGACCATTCAACGTTTTTATTTAGTAATTTAGTAATGAGAAAACTTTGTCATTGATTACAAAAAAAAAAAGCTACAATATGCTTTGTGACCACAGTTTAATTTAGGTTTAAGGTGGTGAATAGTATTGGACCTGTCTCTTATACACATCTTACATTAGAATACACCACATTTTGATTATAAATTTAAAATGACTAATTGGAAGAAGGATGAAAAAATATTGATAGTAAATATGCACAAGGCCCAATAAGAAAAATGATTAGTTTATCATTCAAATGTATCACCCTTGAGTGGTTTGCGTCTTAGGATGGCGTTTTAATCTGCCGACAGAGAGGTAGACAGAAATACAAAAACTAAAATAATAATATTCGTTAACAGTAACTGAATTGTTCAACTCAGGCAGAATGACCTGTGACATTTTAGCCAAAATTGTGATAATTTTCTGTTCTTTATTCTGTTATTGAGTTAGGTTCTGCAATCAAAGTATTACATAAAAGTGAGAATATTTTATTCAATTATTTTTTATTATTAATGATGAATTTCATATTTCTCCAGCTGACAAAAACATTTATTTTATTTCAACAATATTTTGTGAGTGTGGTCCATCAAGTCTGAGCTTATCAATTGGGACCCTCAGTACATAGAATAAAAGAAAATAAGATATAAAGATAAAAGTTAAACTAATTAGTTCAAATAAAACAGAAAAATGTAGAATATGTAAATTTTTATAAAATAATGATATAAGCAAAATATTAAAAATAATAATTAACAAAATGAAAAGAAGTAAAATTGGCATATTTGGATTGTGTATTTTTGCTGAATTAGTCTTAGGTAGACATCAATGTTGGTTGGTCTTGCCAGAGCTATAGGAAACAATTATTTTTCAGCTTTTTCAAATCCTGAAAAAAATATTTAAAAAGAATAACTGAATAAAGAATTGAGTACTCTTAAATAAAGGACCATTCTGATTGGTTGGAATATTTTTTCCAAAAAAAAAAAAGCAAAATTATTATCAATTTTGGAATTTCATAATTTTTTTTAATTGATTTATTTTAAAAGATTTGTAGTTATTTTGTATTAATTTATTACATTAGTAGGTAAAAATATATAATCATAATTATAAATTGTATTAGTATTTGCATTTTTAATTTGTAATTGGTATCACTTCATACCAATGATCAACCACATTATCACATGTTACTTTGATCTTAATCTGATTATTGTTCTTGTATAATTTTCCTAGCCTTTGTTTTTTAAAACATTATTTTTGCCATAAAACTTATTAATTTATTACTGATAATTAAATTGATTTATTTAGTATAGTTTAAAGATGTACTATCAGTCAAAAAGACAGAAAAATTCCTCAAAGATTTAAATAAAATTTTGAAGAGCCATTTAAAAGGATCAAATAATTTATTAGCTTCCTAGAAACAGATCGAAAAAAAAGTAGTTTTCACTGATTGACAGACATTTTATACTATAAAAATCCTTAAATTGATTACTAGCCAATGTAAGGATCTATGCAAATGAATATAGCAAAGTTAATATTTAACAGTCCAAAAATTGATGGGGGTTGAAGGGTGGGGGAGGGGGTAAAATATTTATCTCATTTAAATTTTTAATTTGTAGTTAATAACTTACTTAAATATATACAAATTAAGCAGTTCAAATGTGAAAGTTAAATTTTCAATTACCTCATGACTGGTAGTACATCTTTTAGTTGATTCAACTACAGTGCACACTCCAGTTCGAGACCCCTCTAATTCCAAGACCCCTCTGATTCAAAACCACTTTTCCAAAGACCCAATTAACAACCTTTAACCTTTTAACACAAAGCTAGCTCTCTAATTATAGACCAACCCTGAGACCACACCAATTTTCAGGTCCCAAATGTGGTCTCGAACTGGAGGGCGAACTGTAGTATTAATTAATAACATGAATCATTTTTTTTATTTACATGAGTTTTCCATCAGTAATCTTATTTAGAGGAGCATTTTCTACATTTGGTGAATTTTGTGATAAACTTTTTCAAAAAGTGCAATGAACTTTAGAATACAATTAATTTTGAGGAAAAAAAAATGAATTAACCTGTGCAATTGTTTTGTAGCCATGAATTTTGAAATGCTTATTTACATATATTACATGCATTAAATGCTCAGAAGAGTGAGAGGAATTAGATGCTTTATCAGATTTGAATTCCCAACAAAGCCTCATTGGCCCAGTTGATTAAGTCTAAATCGACAGAAGAAGGTTCCAGGTTAGAATCCCGGTTGGTGCAAATTTTTTTACACTCGCAGATTCCTCTTCTTTAATGTTCATAATTATATATCATTATAGCATTACCACAAGACGGTTTAGAGTTTATCTGCATATATATGTAAATATATATATATTATATATAATTATATATTATATATATAGTTTATATGCTGTACAGTATTAATGACTAAAATGATTATTGGTATAGAATATAAGTATAGTTTGAAAGAAAACCATGATTTTTTTTTAAATAAATGCATTGTTTTGTCAAATAATATAACCCAGATATCTTGCATCCAATGGAATGCCAAAGTGGGTTTTCCTAGAGCATCATATTTGAGGGCCTTAACATTGGAACTATCCTGGCCTTGAACTGTCATGACATCTAAAAATCATAATAATGTATTCCAATATATTACAGAACATTCTCAACCGTTTCAGAAATACTACATAGCATGTGATTAGTGAAAATTTGAATTGATGAAACGACTCGGCCAAAACCTCCAAATAAAAATTGGTAAATAAAAATGGTCTTCCAACAAAAAAATTTCATAGATCATATTTAATTTAATTAAAACAACATACTCTTACTATTAGTAGTACTATTGAACTAGTACTGCTATGTTAAAAAGACTGCCTTCTCTGATTTATTGAAACATATTAAAATTTATAATTAAGAATTAAGAGCAGGGAAGTCCTCAGCATTATACTACTTAATATTAGTGATTTCAGAGGACGAGCTAATTAATTTGAGCTAGAGTATGTAATTTGAGGTACTGCCATCTTAAATGATTGTTGTATGGCGATAACAGTATTAGGTACAATAGAGAAAGATCATTCGCAACCATTGTATAAGCTTGGGACCTTAACCAGTGCTGTATACTGTAATTTAGTAAATTTATGAAAGTAGATGTAGATAATGATTAATGAATGTATTGTTACAATATTTACAGTGCCAGTCATTTATTGTGAATACTGTTGAAACAAAAACTTTTTATTTTGGGAAGTTGGAGAAGGGTGGGTGGATGTGAAGGGGTGGATTTGTTGTAGATGTGTAAGATGTATTTTAGATTTAAGAACACTTTAGATTTCCAGTGTTCAGAGGTCCCAAGTTGGAAGATTCCACATCCGGGAGATCTCTTTAAATGATCTTTTTGAACACATTAAATTATATTTTGCTGTGCATGGTGATAACCAAGGCACTCGACTTCCCGGTAACAATTGATAATGCAGTAGTAAGACCTTTTAAAATATCTCCAATTATTTTCTGGGAGATTCTTGCTTGCTTGTGGGAGTGCAGGAAGCCTTCCTGATTTCTGTGAGACTTGGGACTCCAGAATATTGACCACAATTCAAACACAAAAGAGCATTTTAAAGATGTTAACCCTCCCAGTCAGATAGGCAAATTCCCCTGTCAGTCACATATTGAATTTAAAAAAAAAAAAAAAATTGTCTTAATTCATTGGACATAATACATTCTGAAATTTCGCAAAACAGTTTAAGGCAGCCTAAAATTTCCCAATTGCTTTAAGCTTCTGCTTTGCTTCACATCAAGTTATTTACATTTTTTTAAGAATGGTGAACAAAACTAAAAATGCAAAGGAAAAAATGATATAATTCAATAGAAACCAAAACAGGCATTAGTTTCAGATGCTTTTGTTTTATGGATGATTTTTTCTTGCTTATTTCATGTTAAATTTGTTGACCTTTTATTTGCTATAATCATAGAGCAAAGAATTGCTCTATGCTATAATCTAGCCAGGGATGACATGGGTGTTAGTGGGGAGGGAAGCCCATGGCTGAAAACTAGTTCGACTGGCACACCCTTCCTCCTCCCCCTCCCCCTCCCCATGCCAGAAAATTATTTCCACCAAGTGTTTAAAATACTAAAAATGACCATAACTTTTCATTGGAATATGTATTTAGATCTGCATTCTGGGATTTAGTTCCGTATTATTATTTTTGGCAATCCCCTCCCCCACCAGGCCAAAAGCAACCTACGCCTCTGAAAGAAAAGTCATGCTGCCCTCTATACTAGTCATGTGACTACAAATTGTTGTAGTCTTGTCTTAATTGATTATAAATTAATGTGACCAATGTAAATGCTTGAATGAATTGGTTGATAATAAAAGATTAATGTTTATGAATGAAGTTTTCTTTGTTTGGCATTGTTGATGCAGTCAAGAAAACAACTCGAAGGGTGTTTACACATAGTAAGGCC